TGACTATAAGGGACGTGGTGGTGTGGAGCTAACAAGTCTAGCCAAACATTCACACACACCTCAGCTCCTATAGGAGCTACTCCTTCTACTCCCTCCGTTTCAGAATATAAGAAGTTTTCGAATTGGACATGGTTATTAAGAAAGTAGGTAGAAGTGAGTGGTGGAGGATTGTGATTGGATGAGTAGTGGAGGTAGGTGGAAAAAGTGAATGGTGGAGGGTTGTGATTGGTTGAGAAGAGAACGTTGGTGGAAAAGTTGTTATATTTTGGGACAAATCCTAAGGGCTAAAAGTTGTTATATTTTGGGACGGAGGGAGTAGCTCCCATTGGAGTTGGAGTTTGGAGTTGTGCCAAACGGGGCCTACATGTAAAACCTTATATTCAAATTCATTATATTTTAACCGTAAAAAAACAAAATTCTGACAAATTTAATTTGTCAGATTTTTCACTTTTTTGCTACGGCTAAAATATAATGAATTTGAATATGAGACTTTTTAGATATGTGCAATACTATTAGGAGTAAATATCCAATTTTTTTGTAGATTTGTTTGTGATATTTGCTAGTTAGCGTGCACGAGAAGCTTTATGTATATAGGATATATCTTCTTACTTAAATATGGATTACTGACACGCTAATAAGTTTTTGTGAGTTTTTTTTTTTGTTGAATTGAGATAAAGCATCGCAATAGAAATCTGCAAACTACATAGGACTAGTATACTACAAGCGGGACATTTAACTATTTACCACTTTTAAGATGTGTAAATTAAAGATTTACCACTCGTTGTCTATAACATGTGGGTCCTCATGTGTCTATAACACGTGGATCCTTTGACAAATCCTTTATCACCATTCGTAAAAGTGGCAAGTAGTTAATTATTCCACAAGCATCATGGGCCACATGGCCGGTGTTGGTGGTGGTGGCAGACACTACTGCCTTAAGAATGTGTTCGGCAGTACGTGTTCCCAACTCCTCTCCTTCGTGTTTCGCGCGTACATTTTTTAAACTACTAAATTGTACGTTTTTTAAAAAAAATTATATACAAAAGTTGCTTAAAAATTATATTGGTCTACTTTTAAAAAAACTAATACTTTATTAATCACGCGCTAATGTATCACTTCGTTTCCGTGCGCAGGAGAAGTAGTATAGATAGTGAATGGAACGGCAAAAAAAAAACTTCTAGAAAGATCTTTCGATGATATAAATCTGAAGTCTAAACCCTTCAACTTACACTGGTCAAACCATTTTTCTTGAAAACCTGCTGCCAAACCATTTTTTTTCCCAAAAAGAGAGGCCAACAAAAGGTTAGTGCGAAAATGTTTATCATGATTACTTGGCCAACTTCGTAAAACCAATCATTTGGCACCACACCTCAAGTAAAAATGAATATTAGCACATGTTTTAAACATGAGTTATTAACATGCGGATCTAGATTTAAGGTCCCGTTCGTTTCTCCAACAATATTTGGATGAAGATGAAGATTTTCATGGCACGTTTTTCAAACTGCTAAACGGTGTGTTTCGTACGAAAACTTTCTATATGAAAGTTGTACTAAAATATCAGATTAATCCATTTTTTAAGTTTATAATAATTAAAACTCAATTAATCACACGTTATTACCACCCCATTTTACGTGAAACACTTAATTTTTATATTTATCTTTATCTTCAAGAGATTCAAACACCACCTTATAACTTCCATACAATTAATGTGGTTGCTAAGTTGGAATCATATTCCTTGAATTCTTTGTGGTTGCATGAAATCCAATTACAGCTCTCCCACCTTTTTTTTCGACTTTTAAGAATGATTGACTGCGCGCTCCTTGAATTATTATACTAACTAGGAAGGTAGCCCGCGCATTCGGGCATGCGTTTTATACATTATGTTTGAGATAGTTATAAGAGCGAAATATCAACCGTAAAACATCTACCATGATTTCTTCGTAAATTGTTTTCATCGACATTAATTGCTTTTTTAATTTTCTAACCTATTAGCTTTATATTATAGGAGTATAATATTTACCTGATATTTATAAGCAATTATTTATAATCTTCTTCATCATTTGAAATCATTTGAAAAGAAGGTAGACTTATTTTCTTTAGAAAACATGTCAACGAAAAGTAAGTGTAAGGTAAAACTAAGGTATTTTTCTTTTTTGTTCAATTGCATATGTATTATCATGGTTTATTCGATGATGAATTGGGAGAGACATGAAGCTCCACTAAATATATGGGTTTATATAGCCTAATATGATTGATGTAGTTTGAGAGTTAGTCAATCTATGAACATTTCATGTAGAGTGGGTAAAAGGTTCCACGCAAGCTAACTTGCATACGATAACGATAAAATATAATTGTACAATAATATTTTTGAAATATGACATACCATGAATACACACTTGTATTTCCTTTTATAAGATAGTTCTAAAGGTTAGAAATAATGGTTCTACCGGTTTAAAAGATATAGGAGTACTCCAAGAATGTAGCTTAAAAATTATGGTTGTTTTAATATCTAATATTATTGCGAAGTGAACGTAGCTCAACCGGTTAGGTTCCTTGTGATGGAACTTGCCCGAGTTCAGACTTCACAAATTCTTTTAGTGGTAGACAACGTACCCGTCGATAGCGAGACGTACGTGGTGACTTCGTCAATCTCAAAATATATCAGGCTAGTCTCTTGAAAGTACTCAAAGGGGTATTTGCATGTGTGCGTTCACAGAAGTGATTGTGCGCGTTGTGAGCGCCAGCGTTTGTATTTTGTTTAAAAAAAATATCAAACATTATTTATTGTTTCTCTTTTATTTAATAGATAACACAATAGGGAGGGGACGACATTGTTGTGTACATGTGAGGGTGATGCGGTGGAGATTATATTTTTCTAACTTTTTAAATAATTTAAGTGAGAGCCAATGACGAGGTGTTTCATTTTTTTCTAAGAATTTCTAAGGTTTTTCCTTTTTATAGGACGTGACACACGGTGACTTAAGATTTTTTCTAAAAAAAATAGATTTAATAGTTAAAAATAATGGATACATCAAATTAAATTGATTTTTCTGATAATTTAATTACAAGATCTAATCTATTGGTTTATTATAGATCTAGATTACATGAATATATATACTTCCGTATATTATGTAGTATTATATTTTATCTTTTTTATATTATACAAAATCCTATTGTTAGACCGTAGTTTTTTCCACGGATACTAAGTACACTTTTTTTTTGCTTTATTTTATCGTAGATAGATGTCTATTTTTTTTCTTCCAGCTAACAGTAGGTAGCTTTATATGTTTTTTTTAAAATGGAGTAGCTATATTTATAGCGCCATATTTTTCACCAAAAAATAGTCAAAAAAAAAGTCGGTATGTATTTACATTGTAATTCCCTAAATTACATATGTAATTTTAGTGTATTTATAATATAAGTCTCAAAATTACATATGTAAATCTTAAATTTATATACTAATTATATATATAAGTGGGGTGTAACTACGGTGTAAATTCGTATAAATATATAAATAATTATTAATTTTACGACGGAGGTGAAGTGCTAATGAGTCTAGAGCTTAATTAGGTGCATTTGGTTCTTTCGCATAAGCTGTAAGATGGGGTGCAGCCTGCAAATGCTTGAAACGAATCTTACCGGACGATCTCACGGTTAAAACATCCGACTGTACACAAATTTAGCAATACCGTTTTTTAATTGTACCAACGTAGGGACATTTATTTTTCTTTCCTTTTCCCAGCCACCGGTTGCATATGTTTTTTTAAGGAAAAACTATCACATTTTTTAATAATAGATCTAATCTAATGGTCTAAATAAACGGGTCCACCAATTTAAGTACATCCGACTGTACACAAATTTAGCAATACCGTTTTTTAATTGTACCAACGTAGGGACATTTATTTTTCTTTCCTTTTCCCAGCCACCGGTTGCATATGTTTTTTTAAGGAAAAACTATCACATTTTTTAATAATAGATCTAATCTAATGGTCTAAATAAACGGGTCCACCAATTTAAGTGAAAATCGACGATGAGATTAGATAGTGCCACGTGGCGGCCTAGGAGCGTTTGTAGGAGTCCCACGTGGTGGCTTGAGAGCGTTTGTAGGAAGTTTTATAGACTTTTAGTATAATAATAGATAGATAGATAGATAGATAGATAGATAGATAATAGAAGATAGATAGATAATAGATAGATAGATAGATAGATAGAAATAGATAATAGATAGATAGATAGATAGATATTTGGTTCGGCTCTAACTCCACCCGATAATAAGGATATAGGAGCTAAAGTCTTAATAAACATGCCCTTATTTGCCCAATCACTAAGCGGATGATGACTAACGTGTTCCACTTGTTGAACATGATCCCGCATGATCCCATCCTTTAACAAGTATGAAGGGAATATTGTCGTAGATTTGCGAGATGTGAATATTTCCTCGGCGTGGGAACACAAGAGATTTGATAATTTAACACTCCTTAAAAATAGGGAGAATTTACTATTTGCCACTCTCTCAAAATGCCAGTGCTCAAATGCCACTCTCCCAAATTTTCATTCCCAAATGCCACCCGGGCCCACATGTCAGCCTCACTCATCATCGGGTCCCGCATCACTTTTGTTTGAATGGAGAGTGAGGCTGACATGTGGGCTCGGGTGGCATTTGGGAATAAAAATTTGGGAGAGTGGCATTTGAGCACTGGCATTTTGAGAGAGTGGCAAATAGTAAATTCTCCCTTAAAAATAGGTTTCAATTATTTGACATCCAACCCCACTTTTATTCACTTAGATGGTCCCATATGTCATCCTGTCAATTAAAGCAATTGGACAATAAAAAAAATGTCGAATTATCAAATTTCTCCCACACGGTTAGTTTCGGCCCATCTATTCGCTGGACCTATCCACAAATCTACCTTAATGGGCCTCTAGAATAGACCCAAATCTAAATGGGCCAAACAGGCCCGAACCATTAAAACCTAGGTTTTTAGAGGGTTCCGACCCAACTCGACCGCACTCCCAGCCGGCGGCGCGCACTCTCTCTCTCCCCCCTACTCCGCCGCGCTGGTGGCGCCGCCTCGACCCCAACTGCGGCGGCTGTCTCCACCCCCTCCGGTTGGCAGCGCCCGCGGCCACCGCCACTAACTACGCGCCTGCCGCCGCCGCCGCCAAGGCCTTTGACAGAATATGGGGCACAGCGACGGCGACCACGGTAGCGACCTCTCCGCCGACGATTCCCCGTGGAGCGAGGGGAGCTGGTCCGACGACGATGACGAGGTGCGGCTCTCCTCTTCGAAGGATTTCGACCTTTTTCACCCAATTGTTTGTGGCGTGCTTTTTTTTTTGTTTGTTTGTTTGGTTTGTGAGTAAGCGTTGATGGTTCATCTCCGGTTGTTCGAGCTGCAGGGATCGCTATCCTTCGAGGACAGCGGCGAAGGCTCCGACGCCGAGTCCGACGAACCGGATGCCCCGGCGGTGGAGGAGAGCGACTCTTCTGAGGACGAGGTGAGACCCATCTGCTGTTTGATGTAAAACATCGCCCGTTTAATTATTTCAGGTTTTAATTCATTAACGATTCCGCAATTTCGTGTTCTCTTGTTGCAGGTGGCGCCACGGAATACGATAGGAGATGTGCCGTTGGAATGGTACAAGAACGAGGAGCACATCGGCTATGACATCACTGGTAGTAAGATCAAGAAGCGGGATAGGGAGGGCCGAATTGAGGCCTACCTCAGGAATGCTGATGATGCTAAGAATTGGTGAGTTGCTGCTAGAACTTTGGTTGGTGTAGTTTCAGTAGCTGATGCAGCCAAAAAAACTTTGGTCCGATGAACATAGGATTGGATTAGTCATCCATAACACTACAATTTCTATTTTGCTACATAAGCATCACAACAAAAAGGATGAATGAGTAAATGATGAGGCTGGTAGGATGCTTCATTGCTTCCCTATTTACTGCTTTTTCATTTCCAGTAGGATGCCCTCATTAAGTCTTTTGATTGTCCGAGTCTTGTCATACTCAAAACATGCTAGCTTAAGCTCAATCATGATTTCAGGTAAGAAGGTGCAGCCACATGCGTATTAACATTCATTTTGAATATTTCGTTGCATAACATTTTGTAAAGATGTCGTCGGGTCCAGATGGTAATCTTGTTTTGGCCAATAAAGTGAAAGGTTCTTGATAACCATTACAATTAAAATGTCCATATTTTCCTTGTCGCTCCATTGATTGGAAAATGCATTTTGCATGCACTATTGCTTTGCACATCATCTAATGCTAGCTTAATTGGCTATTAATCTACTTATGAATTTAATTTATCCTCATTGCTTTTTTCCGATTTGTAGGAGAAAGATCTATGACGAGTATAATGATGAAGAGGTGCAGATTACCAAGGAAGAGGCTAAGATAATTAGTAGATTGCTGAAGGGAAAGACTCCACACACAAATGTGGATCCATATCCAGTACGTGCAATAACACATATATTATGCATTTGTATTTAATGCTAAAGTTCATAGCTATAGTAAATGCTTATCGGTAGGGGGCAATGTTGTCTTAATGGGTATGCAATTATGCATGCTGCTATGCTTATGTATTTTATGATAAACATTACTAAAAAAGAATTCCCAACATGTGGCATACATATCTGTACCAATTTAAACTGATATTTTTGCCATTACAAAAATATTAATCTACATTTACTATGCAAAATTCAATGGGGGTTACCTGCATACATCTAGATAGATAGTGTTTCCTCAAGGTTTTTATGGTTCTAGTGATGTATTGAGAGGTAGAGGTATCTCCTAGTGTCTACAAGTCTCAGTAGAGCTATACTTTATGATTAACACTACGAGATACATGTACCTTCCAATACCTCTTAAGGAATGTAAAAAAGTCCTCCAACTATTTATGATTATAATGTGTGTTGCTCGAAAATGGGCTGACTAATGCCTTATTTTAGGATTATGTTGATTGGTTTGAATATGATGGTAAAGGCCATCCACTTTCTAGTGCTCCGGAGCCAAAGAGGCGATTTGTACCCTCGAGGTGGGAACAGAAGAAGGTATGTTCCTTGTAATGCCCCTATTTGTTTAGTTATGTTTTTCAAGATATAAACAACTGTGTAGATGTTTATTACCGAGTTCAACTTGATTAAAAGACAAGATAGATGAATGCATATTCTATATGGAATAATTTATTTTCTTTTTGCTAGAGTGAAATGAATGCTGGCAGGTTACAAATATCTTTTTTAGTGAATCAAATTCATGAATACAGGACAATGAGGTGTTTCTTGTTTTCTTTTATTATGTTTGCTCTATTGCACTATCTTCTGTTTCAGCATTTGGTATTCTAAATGAGTGCACATTGCAGTTAGTCTTTAATGATGCTACATGCACTCTTATTCCATTGTGAAGATATTGTTTTCGGTTAAAATTGAATAAGCCATACCAAATGCCTCAATTGTCCATAAGAATTTTTTGTTAACTTCCGTCTGAAATACATTCGAATTTTTAGTGCATGCTGTCATGTTTCTGGCACGCTATTGAACTATTAAACAGTTGGCATTGCCATTGAGATAGCCTTGTAGCTCATGTGGTCTTTTGTGCAGGTTGTTAAACTTGTTAGAGCCATTCGTAAAGGATGGATAAAGTTTGATAAGCCAAAGGAGGAACCTAACTTTTATCTCTTGTGGGGAGATGAAACTGATACAGCAGACAATAAGCGGCAAGGCCTGAGCTACATTCCTGCACCCAAACCAAATTTGCCAGGTACCATGCTACAATTGCGTAATCAGCCACAAAATGTTTGGACATGAACATTTCCGTGCCAGCAAAGTTATTTAGTGCAGTTGTGCTGAGCACTCATTATATTTCAACTTATATCCATTCTTATAATGGCGTTAATTTGCATATTCAGGTCATGAAGAGTCATATAATCCTTCTGTTGAATACATTCCAACACAAGAGGAGATAGATTCATATCAGCTTATGTATGAGGAGGACAGGCCAAAGTTTATTCCACGAAAGTATGATATCTACATTGTTATTTTAGTTCTCTTATGTATGTCTTAAATATATTTAATATTTTATCTGTTGGTTTTGTCAGATTTGATTGTCTTAGAAGTGTACCTGCATATGAGAAGGCACTTAGGGAAGGCTTTGATCGGTGTCTAGATCTTTATCTCTGCCCTAGAACACGCAAGAAGCGTGTAAGTAGAAACCTCTTTTCATGAGGACATGTGGTTCATTTTTTACTTTTCCTCCATTTATCAATTTGGACCATTCTTTTTTTTTTGTCATTTTCTAGTACGTGTTGATTAATTTATAATCTGCAGATAAACATTGATCCTGAGTCACTCAAGCCAAAGTTACCCAGTAAAAAGGATTTGAGGCCATACCCAAGAACATGTTACCTTGAGTTCAAGGGGCATAATGGTCCAGTGAAGTCTCTTTCAGTTGAAGCAACTGGGCAATGGATAGCATCTGGTACTATATTCATTTTCTATGAGCCACATGCATATATACGTGCAGAATATTCTAATGATTCAGGTGTTAAAAGATCTGGCATTAACCAATGCACAAGATTTGAAGGATTAGGTCCTTTGACATCCATGATTGCACGAGTTTATTGTAACAGTTACTTCTAATGTAGGTTCATCTGATGGAACAATTCGTGTTTGGGAGGTTGAAACTGGTCGCTGCATTAAGGTTTGGAATGTTGGTGGTGTTGTTCACCGTATTGCCTGGAATCCTTCACCTGATAGACACATTCTTGCTGCTGTTGTGTAAGCTCATGCTGTCCCCTTTGATGCTTTTCCTTTCTTTGACCTTTATGTATTCTAAATTCCAATCTTCCATCTTTGAAACAGAGACCATGATCTGCTGCTTCTTAATGCTGAGGTTGGGGATGAAGACGCTCAAATGAAGACAAAAGGGCTCCTCCAAATCGAGGAACTGGCTCAGGAAGAGGATAATGGTAAGATAAACTCAACCAAGCAATTCTGCTAATGTTTACAGACTCATTCACTGTTTCTGAATTCTTCATACTATTTCTATATTGTAGGTGATAAGAAACCAGCTGTCAAGTGGGTCAAGCATGAAAAATTTGATGGAATCATGTTGATTCATCATAAGGTAACCGGGTAGTATTACTTAAAATATGACTTCCTTTTAAGTTAGCAGCTTGTCTTTCTCCTTGCTTACCATCTACTTTATTGATCAGGCTGTGTCAACTGTAGAGTGGCATTTCAAGGGAGACTATTTCACCACAGTTGTGCCAAGTGATATCCTTTATAAAGCATGCAATCTTGTTTTGTTTTATTGCAAGTGCACCTTGGCAGAATAACAAATATTAAAAACATACTTTTTCTAATTCAGTCTTCCCACTACCAATCAGAGAACTGATGACACTAGTTATGGAAGTACCTTTTTGTGACCTTTTAAAGTCAACAAGAAGAACCTTTAACCACTAATTTAATTGCTATATACCGGAAAGTTACGAAGTGTAATATACTAATATGATTTTTTGTCTTATCAAGAACTTACTCTTTACATTTTTGTATAACCATGCTAGACATTCAAAACAATAACTTCGGTGAAAACAAATATGGTTTGATTGCATGCATTCTTGATAGTGATTATTTGCTGGCTGGATGGAGTACTATCAGTTACAGTCTACAGCAAAGGTCCCATGTAAATTAGCTATGTTCTTTGTTCAGGTAGGGGCATGTGCTTTCTATTCTTTTGCATGTCCCCATATAATGCATAATTATAGACATGCATCTTCATTATGATTTTATTCAAGTGTATTCCTTAATTCCTGCTTACGTGATTCAAGAGCTGTACTGTTGCATCAGCTCTCTAAGAAGCATTCGCATCATCCTTTCCGTAAATTGCCAGGCCTTCCTATTGCAGCAGTGTTTCATCCAAGTCAAAAGATGTTCTTTGTGGCCACTAAGAAATTTGTTCAGGTTTATGATCTCCAGAAGGCACAGTTAGTCAAGAAGTTGGAGTCAGGTGTTCGTGAGATTTCCTCCATCTCGATACATCCTGGTGGTAAGTTATATGTTAGCTGTATGTTAATTAACTAACTGCTAGATATTTGGGGCAAGAGTTGCTTCACATTGCATTGTCCTAAGCAATAAATCACTTGTTTATATCAGTATTATTGCATTACTATTGAGTTGATTGGTGCAGTGATGATCTTTTATAATTCTTTCATTTAGGTGATAATGTTATCGTGGGCAGCAAAGATGGTAAATTGTGTTGGTTCGATACTGATCTATCCACGCGACCATACAAGACATTAAAGTATGATTCTTATCTTATCTTTAAACATCTTTTCTTTTAGGAAATCTATAGATTTTTTTTAAAAAAATGTTTTCTGTGATGTCTTACAAAGGTAAGCATCATGCCAAGCGAATTTGCTCTTTGCTCAGAAGGAATGCTGTCAATTCTGTTTGAGGTTCATGCAAAAGCTGATTTATTTCCTACTAAAAAGAAGCTGAAATTCAATGTTGTTTCCATTACTTTTATCATTACTTATTGTCCTATCATTGTTTGCTGAGTTTTTTTTTCTGCTAACTTAACATTGATGTTGTGTATTTCAAAGTGTTGTTATGTATCAAATACTTGAATATGGACAGCATGGGTCACATGTTTTTGCTGTGTGGTGCCATTCTTTCCAGGAAAATATTCCGGGATGAAAACAAGTTCTCTGCAGTCTTAAAAAATTTCACACTAATTATAAATTTATCATAATTTTGAGTATTTATTAAATTTGAAATGTAAAAGGTTAAAAGCAATGAAACATTGATGCCTTCTCTTAATTCTAAACCTAGCGTAAATAAGCATAGCCTATGCCCTATGCATTTCCAAACATGGTGCATAAGGTTCTGCTCCAATGAATTATGCTTTGATTTGGATTAAAAGGGATAGCTCTGACTAGATTTTAATAATTCTAAGGATTCTCTGAGAGGAGAGCTACTAGTTAGTGCTCAGGAATGTCTTCCCTTGTTCCATCTTACTCATTTACACCTTACATAATCCATATTTTTTCAGAAAGATTTTCCAGTTAGTCAAAGGATTGGCTATTATTGTTTGTCATCCAACTATGACTCTTCTCTTTTTCATGGTTCAGATCACCTTTTTTTTTTTACTGGGAGATCGCATTATTATGCCCTATGATCTTTTGAACTCCGATATTTCTATTTTGTGCTGTTGTAACTCGTTTGCTTAATTTCAGGAACCACTCGAAGGATATCACTAATGTTACTTTTCACCGGAAATATCCTCTTTTTGCCTCATCCTCAGAGGATTGTACGGCCTATGTATTCCATGGAATGGTCTATTCAGATCTTAACCAAAACCCACTTATTGTACCATTGGAAATTCTTCGTGGTCATTCAAGTTCAGATGGAAGAGGTACATATATATCTAGTGTCTTTTTTAATTTGCATCCTCTAACATGTCCTTTTTCCTGTACACATTTCTTTACATACATGTATTATTAGCTTTTTGTTGATAAAATGTACTAACCACATATATTCCTAAATAATTAAGTCAATACTGAGTTGAGTTGATCGAGTAATCTTAGAACTGTGTGGATGCATTGCTGCAAATTGAAGATAAATATTTTATTTGTTCTCTCCTTTTTGCCTTTTGGGAAGAAGTTTCTTCTTGTTGTTTCTTCTAATTATTAGTGATATCTTTACTGCATTAGTTTAAAATTCTTTGAAGGATGCCAATAATGTTTAACTCATTTGCTTGCTTTATTGTTGCACTTCAAAATTCTTCAAGTAATTTTGGGCACAATATCTAATCATCAGTTGTGCCTTTGTTGGTGTGCAGGAGTTCTGGATTGCAAATTCCACCCAAGACAGCCTTGGTTGTTCACTGCTGGTGCTGACTCTGTCGTTAGGCTTTATTGCGACTAAAGGTGCTTTCGAAAAAAAAAACAATAGATGGTTTTACAAGGCAATGCAATATGTCTGGTCTTTCTACGGGCTCGTATACGATGATGGATGGTGTATCATGCCAAACACTTAACTGGAGCCAGGGCACGTGTTGAGCCATCTGTGCTGCCTAAATTTTGGTTCAAATTATTTGTACCCTATTGTTATTTTAGTTCTGTAGTAACAGTGAGACATGCAGAGTGTTCCAGAATCGTGGCAAAGGTAGGTGTGTACTAGGATAAACAGATAAGGAACACCGAGCTAATCTATGCTATTCCAAAAGAGGTTTTGTGCTGTCACAAGCTTTTGTGGTCTCTGAAGCTGAACTGAACTAAAAAAGTAGTGATATTGGAAGCTTGAGTTCGACCCAACTTAGGTGAGTTATAGTGTTCTTCAGTTTGCTAATGGTTTTTTATGTGTTCTACATGCTCTGTAACCGAGCCTGCAGAGAGCCTTGTGGAATGCTCATTGTCTCATTGTAACAATATGATGATCTCAGGATTAGTGTCTGCGTACGCTTCTAGCTCTGGCCATTTACTTCTTCTAGAACCTTCTACATTCTTCTCTTCGCACTGCAAATTCTAAGCGAGTGAAATGGTCGGTCAGCACATAAGTAGGGTTCGTAGAATGATGGAAATTTATGTGCATGTACAATTTGGCCGTAGAAGAAAGAATACAACGGTTATAAGCAAGGGATTATCAAGTCCACGAGGAAGAAGCAGAGGCAGGCAAATTACATAGTATTATACGGATTATAAAGAAGAAACCACCACCATTACACTAATACACACAAAGCTCGATCAAGCAGCTTAATTAATTTCTTCCACATGTACGACATGCATCCTCTCCTCACTCCGTGATCAATTTAAGATGATTCTTTGCAGCTCCAGCTCGACGACGATCCATCCGAATTAAAATCATTTGACCTCCTGGATCTCGTCCAGGGCGTAGTTGTTGGTCGACACGCCGGCGTAGTTCACCTTGGCGAACCGAACCACCACCGGGTAGCGAGTGTTGGGATCCTGCATCCAGTCAATTCAATTCAACCATTAATTGATTATTATTCATTGCTTAAAAGTATTTCTTCCTTTTGATTATCGATTGGAGTACTAGGAGAATTGAACTGATTCATGTGAAGGCTATGAGATTTGTACGTACCTGATCAACGGTGACGACGGAGCCAGTGCCGTTGTACCAGTAGGACTCCCTCCTCAGGATCTTCACCTGCATCCATCCATGAACACATTGCGTGATTAGTTAAACGTTAATACAATCTAAACAACGCAATTAAGGAAGCTAATATCATTAGCTAAGCAACCAACGCTCACCTTGGTGCCTCTCTTGGGGCCAATGGGAGGCGGCTTGGCGGCGGCGGGCTCCTTGGTCGCCACGGCCGCCTCGGCCTCCGCCGGCTTCTCCTCCGCCGCGGGCGGCGGCGGCGGCGGCGGCGCCGCGGCCTCCTCCTCGGCGCGGACCACCACCATCCTCCTCCCGACCCTGTTCGCCGCGAAGCTCACGCGGCTGGCCCCGCCGCCGCCGCTGCCGCCGTTCCCGCCGGCCAGCAGGAACCTCGAGGTGGCCGACGCCACGTTAATGGTGCTCGCCATCGCCGCCGCCGCCGCCGCCGCGCTCGTGTGGATTTCGAATTCCAAGTGAAGTGGGAGCAGGTGGTGGAGGTGGAGGAGGAGAGTGAGGCGTAAAATGGCGCGGGGAGATTATCTGCAGCGGAGGCTGGCGCGGGTTGGATTTCGGCCAGTGGGGAGGCGCCGCGTGGCGCACCTTATCCGCCGGTGCGGATGATGTGGATAACCTGGCGGCCATGGGATGGATTCGCTGCCATAAGTGGAGATCGCGAGTACTAGCATTTTCTTTTGATTTGCGATATAATTTGACTTGGCGCAGATCAAGTGAGTCGCGTGCTTGCGTGACATGTGTACTTTTGGCAACTCATCCGAACATGGGAGATATTTTCCGGCCTGTCTAGGGAGCGTAAAATTCTGAAAAGCAATTTGTTAGTAGCCGGTCTATGAGAATCTTGAAAAGTTGGGTTTTTCGGTTTCTGAATTCTAATTTATTTTCTGGATTTTACAACTACAGCTTCTTAGAATTTGGACCAAAAGCTAGACTATTTGGGGGAGCTTCTGATTCTGGGAGAAGTTACAGTAGCTAGAAGCTCCTCCAAATAGGCCCTAAGATTATAAGAAGCAGTCGATTGATAGTTAGCTTCTTCGTTCTAGAAAAGCTAGGTTTTTCGGCTTTTGGCTTCTACTTCGTTTTCTGGATTGTACATCTACTATTTCTCATAATCTAAACCAAAAGCTAAACTGATTGGGGACCTTTTGATTCTGGGAGAAGCTGCAGAAGTTAGAAGCTCCCCAAACATACCCATTTGTTTGGTGGAAGGTGAGGGTCATTGACAAAGTTCATATTACGCAGTACACATATGGTTGTTACAGGTATGGAGAAAAACAAAGTGTATATGGACAGATAACAATGTTTGTATCATATTCGTCTTTTAGTTTATTTTATGAAAGTAAATATGAATAGCTCGTTTAAAAGTAAATACGAATTATCTTGTATTTTTGAAAATGATCCGACACGAATATAGAAACGAAAATAGGCTTCTAAACTCACGAGAGTATCGTTAATTTGTAAAATAGAATGGATGAGGCATTTGCCATCAACTAAAATCCACAAATAGCCCCAATAGTGTATACAAACCTGCCATATGCATATAAACCTCAATTAAAGAAATGTTAGTATATGCTAGCTTTAAGCAATTTTATTTCACAATTGCACAAGCTGGAATAACTTACAACCGTGTATTTAAATTTTAAGTTATTATGATGTGTGTCACATAACCACAGATTTACAAGTGATAATACTTATGATTTTTTTGATAATAGAATATGGGGTTTTTTGAAATTTACTCTTAAAATCAAGAACATCATGCTTCCTTCTTTCCACGACGATAAACCAACAATTTTATTTCAGCAAACAATGTAGAGCAAAACCAATATTTTCTCTGAATACTTCGTAATTTATAGGACTATACTTATGGAAACTCTTTTTTCTTCAAAGGAGATCGCTACCGGAAACTTGATTAGATCCCATTGGCGAAAAGTTTCTGAACATTTACTCCCATTTATTACGTATCATTTAAATAGTTATAAAAAACTTTTAGAAGACTTACATGGTAGATCAATTTGTTATATATCATTTCAAAAACATGCAAGTTCAAATTTAACATACATTTATTAAAAACTAATAAATATGAATGTGAATAATACAAGTACTAGTTACTCCCTCCGCCCCCAAAATATAAGAACCTAGGATCGGATGGGACATTTCCTAGCACTACGAATCTGGACAAGCTGCATGCTGCCTGTAGCGGTGGTGACTTGATCTTCATTCCAAGTGACATTGACGTGGCGTTTATATGGTATTAGAATTAAAAAATATTGTGACCCATTTGTAGTTCACACAATTTTTGTGAGCCCACATGTGACCCTCTTTCTTCTCCTTCTTCCTCATCCCTCCCTCTCTCTTATCTCTTGCTTTCTCTCCCCCTTTGTAAGGATGTCGCCATGTGTAAGGACGTCGCCTTTTCAAGCAGTCGGATGTATCGGCGGTGTCCACGCTCTAGGTGAAGATAGCGCGCCCTCGACTCGCGTGGGGTGGAAGCGGGGTGGGTTGGCACCGACGATGGCACTGGAGGCCACAGAGGGAGGTGGGCCATTGAGCTGGGGTGGATCGATTGCCGCCGCCGGCCACAGGAAGGAAAGGAAAGTAGAGCTACAACATCAGGGGAGAGTGGCGCCGACTTCTGCCTCACGGCTGCCTCCGACGACGCCATTGCCCCGTGCCGCAGGAGCTCCATCCCGGACGATGACGACATTGAGCTCATCGGCGCTCCTCCTCACATCCTCCTCGGTGCAGCTGCGGAGCTCACCAGTGCTCCTCCTCCAGCCACCGTCCATGGGTCCGCTCATCCTCCGGCCTCGTCGGTGCCGACGATGACAATGGAGGAGGCGCAAGCTCGAAGGGGAGAGAAAGAGAGAGATATGGGAGAGGGAAGGAGGAAGGAAAGGAAAGACGATGACATATGGGCCTCACATTTTTTTGTATGAACTACAAATGGGTTCCACATATTTTTTTAATTATAATACCACATAAACTAACAAGATCAGGTCAACACCGCCACGTAGATGCCACGTCAGCGAAACCGCCCTCCAAAACTAACAAGGAAGTGAAATTGCACCGGCTTTAGTAGTCAGGGGGTCGAGACATCAGGTATTATGGTTTAGTGATACGAATCAGATTCAGTTACTAGTCGAGGGAGTCAAAGTGAACTTATTCCACCTTAGTATCCCTCTAGAAAGCGGATACGTGGGCCTCTTAGCTTATGGGCCCACATGTAAGGCTGTAAATAGCCCGATCAATCGGCCACGTCCGCTTCTTCTCTCTCCCTAGCACGCAACCGAGTCGAGACTAGACAAGGGGAGCAGCCGCCGCGATCCAAGTCCTCCTCCGCCGCCGCCGACGCCGCCATGGATCCGAAGCTGGTGGAGGTGACGCAGCTCTTCTCCCGCTTCAAGGCAGCCTTCGCCAGGAACGACTTCGACACCTGCGTAGACCTGCTGTCGCAGCTCAAGGTCGATCCCCCGTGGATCTCGTCCGCTCCTGCTGCGTTGAAATATTCGATTCTTTTTATCGCTATTTCGTCCAAGTTTGTTCTTGTTTCGTCGGTGTAGGGATTGATCTGCTGTCACGATGGGATGTGTGTGTGTGTGTGTTTTTTTTTTTGCATAGGTTCGATTGCTTCTGGATTCGATTCTAGCTAGGGTTTCTTGCCCGGGAAGGCGGATCTATTCCTAGTTTACAAACGAATTCGACGGATTTCTTTAGATCCGAGTTTGTAGTAAACACATGACCTCCTCGTCTGGCCTCAGTTAGGGTTTTTAATTTTTAATTTTTATTTTTATTTACTGTGGAGAATAAAGAAATACTGGGATTTTACTAGGTTTTAGATTATTATCGAAGTCCAATTCTGATTTGGCACTACAGGGAGGTGTAAATTTTGTGAATTTCATGTGTTGACATGTGGTACCCCTCCTTGTGCAGGTCCGCCTCACCAAGTTCCCCAGCCTTCCTCCATCATTTCAGCAGACACCGAATGCAGTGGAAGAGCTGAAAATTGCGAGTAAGATTAATTGGATGTTTGCTTTTATATTAATTTCTGCCTAAAATGTGCTACACTTGTTACATTTGATTGATTCTGTACATGGTTAGTTACTCTTGAACTTCTCATTTGCACACAATTATAGATCAGTGTATTTCATTGTTAAACTTACATCTGAATATCTGATGCTGAAATTTGGTGGCTGTATTTCATTAGCATGTTTTCCACATGCTTTTTGTGGTCAATATCTTTCCTATCTTGATTCCTCTTAGGAAATTGTGTATGCTTATGTTTTATCGACTCATGATTATGATCTAGCTATTCAGCAATAGACATTTGAGGAAGTATTTTAGCCAGTTAATTTTTATGTAACATTGCAGTTATCCATGACAGAACACATCTCTATCTCTATCTCTTATCTTCTCTACTATATTATAAAAATTGAAGATGTTTTTGCCAGTACTTTGGTATGCCATTTGTGTATGAGTCGGTTTTCAAGTTCGTTCACTTTTGGAAATACATATCAGTATTTGAGTCGTTTATTAAGTTCGTTTGCTTTTGGAAATACAGAGGAGTCGTATAAGATATCTCTTTAAAAGAACTCGCATGCTAACTTGAGGTGATCGGACTCTAATTGCAACTCATGATTTTAAGCGAATTCCCACAGTGAATTTCACTTTAATTAAACTGTATAACAATAATAAGATTAAAATAGCCTTCACCTGTCTAGTACTAAGATAAATGTGTAATCTTTCAGGGGACATCTATGAGCATGCAGTTGTTCTGAGTGTGAAAATTGAAGACCAAGATGCATTTGAAAGGGACTTTTGTCAACTCAAACCTTATTACATGGATACATGGTTAGTTCCTGTCTACACTTCACATCAGTTCTGTTACCGTATATTCAATTGTAGGCTGTCATTTTGATGCACGTAATTTTCTTTTATCTACCATTAGTTTTTAGAAACTAAAAATAAGAAGTAATCAAGGATAATTTGTTTTCCTTTGGCACGAGTTGCGACTGATTTGAGCCTGTACTGGTCAAGTTTAGGCTACCGTGGGTTATATTACCGCTAAAGTGTAGTATGTTGGTTTTTTTATGAAATATCTTTTGATTGAGCAAGTATTAATCTATATTATGTACCAGCATGGTGAACATTTTGTATGCCTCTAAAACGTGGTCATATCTAACTTTGGATGTAAAATTTGATGAACACTTGCATGATAAATAATTCAAGGGCTTGTTGTAATGGTTGTTTTATGTTTTTTTTTCTGTCATGTGATTCTAAATCATTCTGTTTTATGAAGCGGCATAATTCCACCATCACCACAGGAGTATCCAATCTTGGGTCTTAATCTTCTAAGGCTGTTAGTTCAGAACAGAATTGCAGAGTTCCACACTGAGCTGGAACTTCTGCCGGTCACAGCACTTGAAAATCCTTGCATCAAGCATGCGGTGGAGCTTGAGCAGTCATTTATGGAGGGTGCTTACAACCGAGTGTTGAGCGCTCGCCAGGCTGTGCCCCACGAAACATATGTGTACTTCATGGATCTTCTTGCCAAAACAGTCAGGTCAGTATAATTATATTACTGTATTACTGGTGCTTCTCATTTGATGTATTGATTTAAAATTTGTGCAGCCCATAATCCCTTATTTGAATGCTTGTTCTGCACATGCAGAGATGAACTGGCTGGTTGCAGTGAGAAGGGTTATGATTATATGTCAATAGCTGAAGCAAGACAAGTGCTGATGTTCAGCTCTGACAAAGAATTGCACCAGTACATCGCAGAGGTAATTGCTCTTCCTCCCCTCTATTTATGTGCCTCTCGTCAATTTACATGATATAAACCCTGTATTTAATGTGGTGTTACAGGAGCACCCTGAATGGGAGGTAAAGGATGGTTCCGTCTTCTTCCAGAAGGCGAAGGAGACCCAGCCCTGCAAGGAGATACCATCTTTGCAGGTTATCAACCAAACGCTCAGCTATGCTAGAGAGCTGGAGCGGATTGTATGATTTGTTAATGAATATCATTTGAGATCATTTGGGACGGCATGTTCATGCTATGTACACATCAGGTGTCACGGTTGAGATGCGCATGTTGCAGCTTTGAACGTTTGAGATGCCCATGTTACCTTATGATACTTTTTTTAAAAATTTCATTTAATGGGCTGGATCTGTGTCTGATGTTTGGCTGCCCAGTAACTCTGATCGTGTTTTGATATGTCAGTTCGTGATCAATTTACTTTGCTGAATAGCTGTCCTGAAAATGTTCAGTATTAGTCGTGAATTGCAACTGCAAACTGTTGGGCTTATGATGATGAAATGAGATCGTACTTATTTTGATGATCATTGTCAGTGTACTCTGATGGAGGCTCATAGTGACACCTCGGAACAATGTTGGGACAGAAAATGTGGTGAGCGTTTAATTTGTTGAAATTCCAAAAATTACTTTTGATCATATGATAGCCGAAGTGCTCCATTGCATGATCAAAAGTCCAAATTGAACCCCAATTATTATGGTATTGATTGACGGTGTTTTTTCTTTGTCACGTAACCAACCCGGAAAAAATTTTCTCCGGGGTGCCTCCTCAAACCCCTATATGTGATGTCCCTCTTCAGATTTGATGCCGCAGCCCGTCGTTCTGCTGCCGGCGCAACCAACGCCCATCGACCTGCAAACACCACTTACGATGGCGAATTTGGGTGGCTGGGACGACCACACATGCAACAATCAAATGGATTAGAAATGCCATCCAAGTTTCAGATTTCTTCACCGGTCCTAGTCATGCCATCGTCAACGAAGTCATCTTAGGTCACTCACCGGAGTTATTATTGCACCCTGACAATCTCGATCTTGGTTGGATAATCCTTTACAGAGAGGCTTTACAGAGAGGCTAAAAGGGTCAAGTTCAATCGAACACCAATTATCACGAGCAAATCAGCGAGTGGAAATAAGACTCTTAATTGTGTTAATAGAAAGTAGAGAGTATCTTTTGCCGTGGACTAGATTTACTCCCTTTATATTCGGTTGTGGTAGGAGGACGCTAATGAAACTGGGAGATCGCTAGTTAGCGCGCGCTCCGGCGGCGCACATTTTGTCCCAGAAGGCCAAGTGCCGCTGCACCGGCGCGCGCACGCCTCCTCCACCTTTTTTTTTTCGTTTTTTTGCCTTTTTTTTCCTTTTCTTTCCTACTTTCTTTCTGGTTTTTTTTAATCTTTAGCATGTTTTGAGTTTGAAAGTTTATAATTTTTGAGTTGAAAATTTTCAAATCTGAACCTGAAAGTTTTCAAATCTCGAGTTGAAAGTTTTTAAATCTTGATTTGAAAGTTTTTGAATCTGGAGTTGAAAGTTTTCAAATCTCGATTTGAAAAATTTCAAAATTTTCAAATCTTGATTTGAAAGTTTTCTAATCTCGAGTTGAAAGTTTTCAAATCTTAAATTGAAAGTTTTCATTTTTTTTAAATCTGGACTTGAAAGTTTTCGAATCTCGATTCTCGAGTTGAAAGTTTTTGAATCTGAGTTGAAAGTTTTCAAATCTCAAGTTGAAAGTTTTTAAAATTTAACTTTAAAATTTAAAACTTAAATCGAAAGTTTTCAAATCTAACCTAAAAAAATTTCAATCTGTTAGTAAAAAAAATCTCTTAAAAAATCTCCAGAATCTTTTCCCTAGTTACTATCATTAGTGTTAAGTATATTAACTAATATAGTAGTTAAGACTAAAGGGGGAGGGGGGGGGAGTGCTAGCAGTCCCATGAAACTGAGGGTCTGTTTGGTACAGCTCCAACTCCTAAAATTTAGCTCTAGTAGTTAGTTCTGGAGTGGAGTCGTGGAGCTGCCTAAACACAGCTCCACAACTCTAGTTCATTTTGTGAGAGAGCTCCACCCAGCTCCACTTCCAGTTTTGGTGGAGCTGAAACTGTTTGGCTGAGCTCCAGCTCCAGGAGGGGTGGAGCTGGAGCTGGAGCTGTGCCAAATAGGCCCTCCTACATTTTGAGGAACCAAAACTCCAAAAGTGGACTGCTACCTTTTTTCCTTCGGAATAAGTCCATCTTACCTCCCTCATCTCTTGCACTTGGATGAATAACATCCCTCAACCGGAAAACCGGGTATAATACCTCCTTCTTCTCTAAAAACCAGAGCAAATCACCTCCCTCGGCGGTTTCGGAGGCGGTTTTGTCCTACGTGGCACTTACGTGGCGATGGCCCCTCCATTGACTAGCTGAGTCAGCTTATAGACCCCACCTGTCAGCAACCCCCTATCCCATCTTCTTCCTCACGCGGACGACACTAGCGGCACGCCGGCACGAGGCTGCTTCATCCCGAAACAGAGAGAGAGGAGCTGGACCTCAGCACGTCGCGCTTCGTCGTCTGCCGCACCGGCACCGTCCCCTCCGGGCACGACTCGTCGTCGTTCGTCCACGCCATCGGGAACACGACCTCCTCCTCCGCCGCCTCCCCATGCGCCGCCGCCGCACCACCAACCTTGGGCCTCTCCTCTGGCTCCGGCTCAACTTGCACGCGCACACAGCTGTCACAAACACGATCAATAAACGTCGCCGGAGATAGAAATGATCACTGCAAATTGAAACAAAAATGAATGAGCTTCGGGTGGTCGAACGCCGGTTGCAGGTGCAGCGGCACGCAGTCGATGACATCACCGTCGGGGCTCTGAATGCAACCATGCACAACACGACATCCAACCACCTCGAGTCTTTGGTACGATGGCGACCGGTGCTCCGACGTCGTCTGCCACCGCCGCCGCTCCCTACCGCCGCCGCCACTGCTCCGGCCAAGGTGGAGAGAGAGGCCGTGGGAGAGAGAGAAGGGAGAGAGAGAGGGAGGAGGAAGAAGGAAAGGAGAGTTTGCACTGACATGTGGGTCCCACCACGCTGAGTCAGCTCGTCAACGGGTCAACGACGCCATGTCGGACGAAACCGCCAGCCAAACCACTAAGGGAGGTGATTTGCTCTGGTTTTCAGAGAAGAAGGAGGCGTTATACCCGGTTTTCCAGTTGAGGGATGTTATTCACGCAAACGCAAGAGATGAGGGAGGTAAAATGGACTTATTCCTTTTCCTCCCCTTCCCTTCTCTGGCCCAAGTCAAGCTGGCCTAGGTCAGCCCAAGCCAACCCAGGGCAGCCCGGCCCACTTGTGCCCCAACTCTATCCATTCCACTCGAGCTTCTCCTCTCAAGGTCGCCCCGCCACCGCACTACACTTCTCTCCTGCTCTTCCACCGCCTCTCCCCGGCCGGAGCTGGGAAGGGGAGGCGGAACCCTAGCTCCGCCGCCCACGAACCAACTCCGAAATTCGCCGCGTCCGATCCTCCTCCTCCGAAATTGAAGGTAGGAATGGATTCCCCATTCCCGCGCCCCCCTTTCCCCTCTCCTCCCCAACCTCACGGCCCGCCGGAATTCGCCGGCCGCCGTTCTCGGCCGCCCCAGCTCAAGCCGCCACTACCTACCTCTACTCAGTGCTCGATCTTCCTCGCTGGAACCCGCCGGAGCGCCGCCGCCTCTCACGCCACCGCCGGAATCGGCGTCCCCTCGCCGGTCCTGCTCCCCCTTCGCTGCTGGCCACCGGCGGCCTTGAACCGCTGACGACCCCTGTAAACCGAAGAAAAACGAAGCAGTCTCTTCCTTTTGAAATAAAAATACAATTTCTCTGGTTCCTCTGGTTCAGTGACCAACTGACCATTCGAAAATCTGCCACCTGTTCCCAACTCATTGAATTATTATCCCGAGTCCATCCGCACAAGTTTCGTCTCAATCCGAGCATCCATTAACACAACCCCCAAATTTTGATTCTTAGGGTTCGCTGACCGTTAAAGCTACAGAAATTTTCAAATTTCACCATCTAACCTCTTTTGATCCTAAACGGCACCTTCCGAGGTTTTAGTGTTTATTTGGATTTTATTTGCTTAGCTCTTTAATTGTGTATCGATAGATTACGCCATCGGTTCAGGAGAAGGGTCAGAGTTTGCTGTTGATGCATACGCCATCGCTGCTGCAGGAGGAGACGTTTGGTACGACTACGCTGAGCCCAAAGGCAAGTCATCTCCCTTTATCATAATTTGAAGCCAATTGTGCTTGCCTTGAAGTACGTTTTAGGGTGCCTTGAAGCATACTTAAAACCTTTCAAAATGGCAATGACCAGTTATCTCATATTGCTATATACAGCCATGCCTTGTTGTTGAACCTGGTATATCCTTGGTAACCCTTGTACAACATAACATGTGATGTTTACAGTTTAGTTATATCACTTCATGTGTTCAGATGGAAATGTTATGGTTCTTTTAAAGTTTATAAGGATAAACCCACTTATACTAATATTAAGTGGCATAGTTTACGCCCATACGTTTGACCGAGTAATTAGACTTGAATGAACACATTTCCAGTGGATTGAAATCCTATACTAGAATTTCTTCTCTAAAAATGTTTGGAGTGGCGTCTCTCCCTCCAAATCTCGTTTTTTGAAATCCTGCACTAGGACCCCACAACCCGCTCGCTCTTGAAGTGAACCATATATCGGCTTGAGATTGTGCTGAGGCTCTTTTGTGTATGCCTTATGGTCCTTACAGTGTATTGGACCTATTGCATCTTTTAGCTCGTCAAGGTGGTACATTAACTTCAACTGAGAGTATCGGAGTAGGTCCCCTACCCATGGCATTGGGTCTCCCGCACGGTACGCGTTGGGGGCGTGACCCCGTACACGACGGAGATGTTCACGGTGGCCTTCTTGAACACGACCCACCCTTCAGCACGTGGCTGATGCCCTTGCCGCTGCCCAGCCGTGTCTAGGCGTCCTCCTGGAATTGCACCCTGCTCCACATGCCTACCGCTGCTGGCCTCCTTGACCACCTCCAGCGCCGTGCACACCTCCACCTGCGCGTGCCGGATCGTGCGCTCGAATCGCGCCTGCACCAACGCGGCCTTCTCCTCTCCCAGCAGGAATGTCAGCGGTACCCTACGGCCTGCGTGATGCAAGAGAGAAAGAGAGACAGATTTAAACCAGCTCAGCCAATCCCCTCCCGCCACATGCTCCATGACTTATTCTCTTCTATCTACAGCTCGCTGTGACCGGGAGCTCCGAGTTGGCCACTAGCAATGGCATTGTCGGTGAGTTTGGAGCTCTCGCACTCGCCTCCGCTGTGGCACCTTCCCTCCCTCTGCCATCACCGCCCAGGTATACCGGATCCAAGAAAATCGTGGACAGTAAAGCAACCCAAGAGGATCTGCAGCCGCAGGTATCAGCCACAATCCAACCCCAAAGTTTCTTCCTTCCATTTCTTCAGATGCAAACAATTTTCTCGTCAACTGGCGAACATTCAGTGTCAAAACTGAAGAGCTGCAGAGATTCAGTGGCCGGAACAACCACGGAGGAGGACGAGGGAGCCCTTGAGGCGCGGCACGGTGAGTCCGCGCCTCCCTGTGCCCGACCACATCCCTCTCCCTCCTTACGCCGGCACGAATCGCCTCCCTGATGTTGACCCCAATCGACAGCTGCATGACTGCGAGAGCATTGCTCGTATGAGAGCCGCCTGCGAGCTCACCGCTCGAGTTCTTGAGTACGCAGGGACACTAGTCAAGGTAACCCTTAAACATATATGATCCATATATATGTACAGTTTCTTCATCTTCTGCCCAATTTTCATTTGAAAAATTGCTTTGAAAAATATGCAACAATCGAACATGCGTGTAATCATATATCTTATTAATGTGTCAGCCATTGGCGACGACTGATGAGATTGACAGAGCAGTTCATCAGATGATCATCGACGCTGGCGCCTACCCTTCTCCCCTAGGCTACGGTGGTTTTCCGAAGAGCGTCTGCACGTCGGTGAACGAGTGCATCTGCCATGGAATCCCTGACTCACGGGTGCTACAGGTCGAGAGGGATTCATGAGCCCTTCTGCTTCTTACATTCATATATATTTTAGTTCTGTTTGGTACTGATGCTTGGTTTCAATTACTGATCATTCTTCTTGCAGAATGGAGACATCATTAATATCGATGTTACTGTCTACTTGAATGTATGTGATTCCTTTTTCATTCTTCTGTCCTCTTTTCCTTGTCAGTCATCACCATTCAATTCGATTGAAATCATCTGCATTATCTAAAAAAAAAATTCAACATTCAATTTGTTACTCATGGTGTGCTGCTCTTGTGCCATTAATTGACCTGGTTATTGACACATTTGCAGTGTAAAATTAAGTGACATGTAGTGTGTTTACCTAGGGATACCACGGTGACACCTCAAGGACATACCTATGTGGAGAAGTTGATGAATCTACTATGCAACTTGTAAAGGTGTAAATGACCTTGCTGATCTCTGCTGATTGTTTCATGATACGATAATGTTTCATCCTGTATCTGAAGAAACTTATATATTGTTCTGTAACTAACATGCTGAGGGGAATATCAGCCTGCAAACACGGTGCTAGTTTTAAGACAATTGGTCAGAGAATAAGGTGTTAATCTCTCTTACCCATAAATTTCATGATGTCTTTCAGATGAATCAAGTACTAATCAGCATCGATCTGAAAGCACTGAAAAAAGGAACACAAAAATTGATCAGGATGCTGTTTTTCCCAGTAATAAGCAAACATTTTCCTCTAAAATTTACTGAGAAATTTTGTTTCATGTACTTATATATGTAGTATATTATCTATCATACATTTTTTCTGGTGCACTGAAACTCAAATAAGCTGAACAGTAAGTGGAAAAACATATAATGCTGAATTTCAAATGCCATGAATCATAAATGCACTTATCCTGTCAGTGATAGTCCAGCTTCTACAAATAATTTCATGATTTCTGATTTCAGTGAGTACGTGGACGAGTACGGGTACAGCATCGATCCCTTTGTCGGACATGGAATTGGGAAAATATTCCACTCGGAACCGATCATTTGGCATACCTGTAAGTAGCCAATAACCATATATATGTCATGTAGTCTAATTTCAGTATGGTTAATTTCTTACAGACGACAACACACTCCCTAACTAATTGATTTAACATAGATGATTATGAGCCAGGCTACATGGTTGCAGGCCAGACATTCACAATTGGTAGGTAGGTACATACATACATACATGATCTTGTGTTTTGGTTAATGGCTGGGCTGCATGCAATGCAGAGCCTACTCTGTCCATGGGAGGCACCCAGTGCACACTGTGGGACGACGGGTGGACGGCTGTCACGGTGGACAGCAGCCTCACCGCGCAGTTCGAGCACACCATCTTGGTCACCGGCGACGGCGCGGAGATCCTCACCATGCACCCGCGGTGAGATGACGAGAAATTCTACGCAACTAGCACCACTTGCATATCGTGCTGGTCTAAAAGCATCCTTTTCTCAGTTTTCATCTTTCACAAAACAAAGGCAACTCATGATCTGTACAGCATTTTCAAATAGTAGCAAAATGCCCATACTTTGTTACGGGATTAAAAACAAAATCTTACTGTATGCTCTAGAATAGTACTTCCCGTTCAATAATTATGGGATTATTAATGTGACTGACTGGGGATTAGTAGAATCTTTTCAGAATCATTTAGAGACTATACTGCTACAATAATTGAGACAACAAGAACTCTTAATCATCAATGCACCAAAATATTTTTTTATACCCTTCTTTCCTTTTCTCCATCCTCATACAACAAAATTTCCTTTAACAAATGTTAAGAGTCGACTCTGAGCTGTTGTCATGTATAGCAACCATGTTTTTCTTTCCTCTTCTCTCTCTCTTCCAAATTAGCAAATTTACTTGCATGGCAATAAAGAGAGAGATATTACACACGGTTGTACATGCACTCATAGGCCCAACTGCCCTTTTAAAGAAACGAAAAACCCATATTCTCACACGCAGAAGGCGGAAGCCCCAAATGGCCGGACGGGAGCACTTATAACTGACATGTGGCACTCACTTACCAGCGCCACCGGTTTGTTTTAAGATTGGTATAGATCCTAATTTCAAAGAGTGATTAATCATATCATAACCGGAGGGATCGAGTACTGACCTTTGAAGACATTAGAGCCGAAAAGAGGGGTCAATTTACAAAAAAAAAAAGAAAAGAAAATATTAAAATCTCCCCCTTTGACGAGCTAGATGAGCAAGAACTAGGCCCAAACTCTCGACATTCCAAAAGTTAACCTTTGAGCCCTTACCTAAACCTCGGGAAACGGAGGAAGAAAAAAAAATTAATCTTCGGAAATCCCTTTCCAAGAAAAAAAAATCAGTCTTCGGAAATCCCTTTCCAGTTCGAGAATGATCTTTTTTAAGATTATGGAAGCACCTCAAGCTTTTCCTATCGAAAGAGACCACTTGCCCCGTGTAGTTCCCATGAGGCGATCGAGGAAAATTTTCTCAAAGACATGGTGAGGGGATCAACTACCATCGTGAGCATGAGCGGTTAAGAGATATGGAGCTTTCTTCCAAAGCAATTCGAATTAACTCCCCATCCTTAACTATTCAATGTCTCATGAAAGAGGCCATGGTGAATGTTCACTATAATCCCATTGTTGGTGCTAACATCATATCCACAGCCTTTGCATTAACTAGCTTAGGGGACAGACTGTTAGCACCCATAGACAAAACCTTCCGAAGTTCCTCAGGTCTTATGATAGAAGGTTATGGGATTCTATGTGGAGGGCCATTAAGGCACAAGAATGTCAAAGCCCTCCTAGACTTCCACGTGTTCAAAATCCCTGACTTTGATCTTTTAATCGTCCATTCCACATAAAAGCTTCTTCTAGATGTGCCCAGAAGGGAGGACTGGCGGTCTTTGAAAACTCCAAAAATGAGTTGATCCCACAACGAGCCGTCACGGGATGGAGGATGTGCATTGACGTTGGTATTTCTTAACGACATTACTAGAAATATAATTCCCAGCAATGGCGTTGAAATATTCATGATATATTTTACGGTTACAAATATAATCCGCAAGTGCACGGATATAATGTTGTAGTATTTTACCCGGAAGTATTCCAAGGTATCGTATTTATTTAATTCCAATGAGAGATATGATAAGAGAATACTATGCTAATAATTTATATCACTTGTATAAATCAGAGTCTATACAGGAGTTAGGCAATATTTATGGGTAGATCAGAAAAATGTTGACACAAAAGAAGTAACCATATTATTCTCATTAAAATAAAGTCTAAGCTAAATGGAGAAAGAATAATAGAAGAATCATTCATGTACTTCTAGTATATAGTCATTTTAATATACACTTGCTAATATACAACAATGCAGCCAATACCCCCTAACTATGCCCTCCTACTGTTTCGAGAAACCACCCCTGATTGTCAGTTTCTTACCCGTCATGGCCATCCAACCGATAATGAATATGGGGGAGTACCCACACCAGGAAATTGTCTTAGTACTATATACCCACGTAGAGGAATACCCGTACTGAGCTATCACCATCAGCGGCCCACCACTACTGTTATGTGGCATATAATACCAATTAATGATATATAATAAACTAAGCACTATGCTTACATTACTAAATACTACACTATATCGTTGCAGCAGACATAGAGCAATCATCAAAATAAACATTAAATCCACACCATTGCATATCTCTGGTAGGTTAGCTACATTATTATATTGCGACAAGTCTAACATAAAGTCGGTACTTAGATAATATAAATGAAGTAAAGAACTAAAGCTATATAAAGAAGAATATTTCATTGATAATATAAGTCTTACAAAAGAAAGAAGAGCTACTAGAACCATACCCGAAATCTCCTGAAGACTTGAGGAACTAGAAAACTATTTTGTTTATACTCCAGTAGTACTAGAACAAAGTAAATAAACTAGAGAGAGAGAGAGCTCTTGATTCTTCTTCTTCTTCGGTGTGTGATGGAGTGGAGTGAACTGACCTCCATAAATAGACTGCCAATGACGGTTGTGGCAGTTGGAATTGTCGGAAAAAAACCCACAACCGTCATTGGGGAGCAATCATGGACGTTCACATGGAAGGCCGGGATGAGATGCCGCAGCTAGGGTTCGGTCGAACCCCTGGTCCAGCCGAACTTGGGCCGGCCCCTCTAGCCTCCAATTTTGGCCGAGGACTTTCTTGTTGGGCCTTGTTCTTCATGGTATGGTAGTGAGCTTATTTGCATGTGTTAAATTGGATTTGTAAGATCATCCATCCATAAGTCTGCCACTCGGCGGTCATCGATTGATCGTTCAGTTATTTTCCGCTGATTCTCCTCCGTTTATGTAGAGATCTTTGTATTCAAATAAAATTCCAAGTACAAATGGAAATAGATTATTTCTAATAAAATACGCATTGCAAGCATAACTAGTTCTCTTTTATTCCGGTTATATTGACGGTCGAAATTGGTCTATAACGACTGCCAACAAACTCCCCAAACTTGAACCTTTGCTCGTCCCAAGTAAAAGATTTACAAAAACAAACTTAGTTGTTAATTAGGAGTTGCTACCATGCTGTATATCTCAAAGGTATTGGTACAAAGTATGAGTACTCTCTCTCTCGTTAAGCGAGTTAGCACGGTGGCTTACCCATGCGCCTAATACCCGTGGGACACATGCTTCTCCTTGTCTTTAGTGGTTGAGAGATAGAATAGTTAGTAGAGCACTAATCAAAAGTTTTCAAGTAGAGCACTAATCAAAAGTTTTCAAAGTTGCAAATAAAAGCCAAGTTCCTCAAATGATTCTCTCGATTACTCAAAAGTGTATAACTTGCCATTGATGTGCATTCGGATTTCTTCGGCTCCCACATTGATGCATGCGTCTGTCATGCTCAGGAACGACCGCCCAAGGATAAGTGTGGTGTCCTTGTCGGTGTCCATATCCAGCACCACAAAATCCATAGGAATGAAGCAACCCCGGATTCTCACCGGAATGTCTTCAGCAATCCCCGTCAGATAGCGGACCATAGAATCGGTCAATTGCAGCATCATAGGGGTAGGCAAGAGCGTTGTATAGTTCAGCTAGTCAAAAACTACTTTGGGCATGACACTGACGCTTGCTCCAAGGTCGCATAGGGCATGGTCGAAGTGTTGTGTCCCAATTGTATAGTTGATGGTGGGACACCCCGGATCTTTCTTCTTTTTAGGAAGTCGGTTGAGTATAGCCGCGCTACACTCTTCTGTTAGTTTGACGATCTCCGTGGTGGGCTGCGGCCTTTTGTTGCTAATGTTATCACGGAGGTAGAGAGCATAGGTTGGAACCTGCATCGCATCCAGTAATAGGATATTGATGTACATTTTCTGGATTACCTCGATGAAACGGAGATTCTCCCGAGAAGGGCACTGGTCTTACTTATCACGGAGGAATGCATTTGAGCACCTCTCCCAAGTGTCTATGGCACCCCTCTTGGAGTAGAACCACTGTTTTCCCCTCCCAAGTAGGGAGAACAGAAACAGGCGGAGCCTGATGGCGTCCTGGGTCACACCTGCATCCAACGGTATTCAGCTAGCCTAAACACCATGTTTATGCTAGTAAATAATATCACTAACTCTCCCGGGACTCTCACCCTTTCGGATGAACAAGTTGGAGCTAGAGCAACTTATAAAGGTCATTGGACCGTTACCGTAGCATGGATCGACTAGCCTAGGATGAAGCAGATATACAAAGTATATACTACTCATAGAACATATACTAAACAAAGGAATACATATGCTATGAGCATAAATAAATAAAGAAGATAGTTCCATTAATATAACTATAGTCTTACAAGAAGAGTAAAGTACTAAAGACATACTGGAAACTCCGAGAAGGCTGTAAGACCAAAACTCCTCTAGACTTTATTCCTACTAAACTATGGACAACACAATAGGGAAGAGGGAATTGCTCCTTGAGGTGTGTGTTACAAGTGAGGGACTGAGCTCCTTTTATAGGTGGCTTATGACAGTTGTATGTCGGATAAACACCCACAATCGCCATTGGGACTTGGGAGCCAACCAGGAAGCTACACGTGGAGGGCTAGGATGAGGGGTGGCAGAGGCGGTTCGGCCGAACCCTTGGGTGGCAGAGGCGGTTCGGCCAAACCAAGGGTTCAGCCGAACCCTTGGCACCGCCTTTCTCCACTGCCTTTCACCAGCAGATGACAGGTGGGGCCCCTATGACAGTTCCTGGTGTTTTGGCCCCATTTTAGGTCGGTTTGGCTCGACTTGTGGGCCCCTCAATCCGTGTGCTTGCACGTGATTCACCAGAAGTGTGTTTCCTTGTATGTTGGTCCCATTTCTCCTTCACTTGGATGTATAATTCCTGCATCCATGTTATTTCTCCAATCCTAATGCAACTACATTATTTATTATTGGTATATTTGTACAAAATGCTAATTTTCTCTTTATTAGTTGTGCTAGTTGGCGGTCGAAATCGATACTGAACGTTGCGCAATTCTATTATCAACTAATTAGGCATACTTCTTGTATGTGCACTAGTGATGCTTACGTGCGACTTTCATCGTGTTCGGGTAGAATCATTGAGAGTTTCCATAGTATTTGGTGTAAATTCGGTGCACCGAATAGCCTCCGAGTCATATTCTCAATGAATCATAGTAAAAAAAAAACCCATTCTTGCTCTATGAGAGGTGGGTGTGCATCATAATCTTTCAAACCACTTCTTTCGTGTAGTCAACAGAGTGTCAACGCACTCGTTCATCTAGTGTACTCATTCATGAAAGTAACATAGAGACACCAATGAGAGACTGAAGATGCTTGATCAATCTCATCAAGCTAATAAATAGAGTGTACTTGAGTTGATGGTGCTCAAAGCTTCTTGCACCGTCGACTTCGGTTGCATATGTCAGGGATATTCTAGATTCGATGAACTTCTTGTTCGTGATGCCAGTCATCTTTCGTTATTAAAAAATACACGCAAATTACATTTAGGTAAAATGCACAAATGTTGCAATATAATGGTACACAAAATTTCCGCAAATAATTCCAATATATTCTATGCAATTCTATACATTTTACAGCAAAGATATCAATTAAGGGTAATAAAAGCATTACAAATAACCACTAATCATAAATGCAATAAATAAAATTCATAATTATAAATATCAACAACAAAAGTTCCTGAAATGCAAAATCGGGATCAAAATTCAAAAATCCAGGGGCTCTTTTATGCGAGAATATGATTTTTTAGTGGTTTTGCAAATTCCGAATACCGTTCAAACAAATATCCCAATGCAAAGGGTTATTTGTGTATTTTTAAAAAATTTCAGGGTTTAAAACATGAAATTTCCAATTCAGACAAACATGCGATTTCCCAAAAGATGAGGGTTTATTTGCAAAATCACAAGATTCAATCATTTTCTTTTTCTTTTTTCCCTTTGTTTTCTTTCCTTTTTTCTTTTCTCCTCCCCCCTCCCCCGATGGTGCTCCTGAGTCCTGACAAATGTGGCGGGCGGGGAGGCTGGCGCGACTCGCACGATGGGTGTTGCATGGCGGCGTGGAGGCCGAGACACGGGACGGGCGACTGGGCGACGGCGACACGCATCACGGCGCGCGTGCTGCCGCTGGCGCGGTGGCCTCGGCGGGCGCAGTGGCTCCGGCTCCAGCTCAGCCAGCGGCACTCGGCCGGGCGGCGGCTCGGCGCGAGCATGGCCGGCGGTGACCATATTTCCGTGCGGCGGCAGCGCGGGTCACAGCGGCCCCATCACGGCCTCGATGGCGCGGCCGGTGTCGCCTTCTCCTTTTTTTATTTTTTTTCTTTTTCTTCGATTTCTTCTTTCTAATGGCGCATGTGATGTCAGGCGGTGTGGCCGCCGGCGCCCGGCTCTATGGGCAAGACGCGGCGTGGCCGACCGGCGGTGTAAGCAGCAACGGCAGTGGCCGACATCGCCTCCCCGGTCTCCGCTTCCTTTTTTTTCGTTGGTTCCTCCTCTTTCCTTTCCTCTTCTTCTTTCCTTCTACCTTCCCGATAATGGAGTGGAGGCGGCGTAGCCGTGCAACGACGCTGTCTAGCGGAGGAGGACGGAGACAGTGCAACTGTGCAAGGTTGACGCGGCCAAGGTAGCATGCTAGTGTGGGCAATTGCATTCAATTTCTTAGCATGGAGTGATGCAGTAATAACTATTTTTATTGACATTAAGGCCAAATCACTTTGCTATATCTTAAACTACATACATACGGAATATGTCCATTAATATAATTCATATGGATAAAAACTAACCATCAACACCCATGACAGTGTCCTTGTCATATCTGGAGTTTCCGCAAGCACATGTAGATATTTGGAGTTTTAGCTACGCTTTAGGTCCCCTTTGAAACATGGGATAAAAAACGCATGAATGGAAGTAACATGTTTTTTCAATCCTATAGAATATAAAAACACATAAAACATAAGGAGAAGTTTGTTTGATGCAGCACAGTAAAGATTGAACCAAAGGAATGTTTCCAATAGGCTTTATCTCTTACTTATTTTTTTATGAAATTGACGATAGGATACAATCTTAAAGAAAACTTCCTATCTTCTTTCCATAAATAAGAGAAATCCTTTGCCAATCCTCATAATTATTAAGCTTGCCTAACTGTCGAAATTAATTACTCATCTTCATTCCAACTTTTTTTTCCAGTGAGGAAGAACCTAAATCTTTACATTGCGCATATTTCAGGACTATCATGTTAAGCTCACATCGCTGGAAAATATTTTACAAGGAGTCATCTATCCAATAGTGCCTGGATCAACCAGGAGTTACCAGGAGTGATGTCGTACGCCTGGCCATCATCGGCCCACCTATCAGTCCCCGCCACGTGGCTCCACCCCCCCTCGAATGGCTCTAGGCAAATCACCCAGCTGGTATGCACGTTGTGACAGCATATTCTAGTCTGGTTTCCCAAACCGCCGAGGCTGGGGTTACCGCGCCCCGGCGGTATGCATGGTTACTGCGGTAACCGTGAAAAACTGTATGAAATCGTGCAAAATTCATCAAAAATTTAAATTATTTTTAAATTTATTTGAATTTAAGGAGGTTACCGTGGTATTTACATTACCGTACCCCGTAGTAAGCTCGATAACCACGGTAACCGCGCGGCTACCGGCCATACGGTGATCCCTGGTCTCTCTCCTTTTTTTACTCACCCCCGAAAATTCACACCCACCCCCACCAATCCTAGAGCAGTAGGGCCCCTTCCAGGTGGGACCGACGCGCGCCACGTCAGCGTAGCGGGTGGCAATTGGCAAAGCCTCCGAAACAGAGATTCCCCTACTACCAGAATCACCACGGTTTCCACTCCACCAGCGACACTTGACACGCACGCGCCACACGCCGCCGCTCTCTGTCTCTGTCTCGGTCTCGGTCTCCGCCTCCCGCGCCGCGGCCACGCCATGGCCGCTGCCGGCAGGGACCCGCCGGCGACGCCATCCTCCAGTGAGTGAACTCCGGTTCCCCCCTTCGCCCTCTCCCTCTCCCTTCCTCCTCGCTCTCGTCTGGTGGCAAAGTCCCCGGAAGGGGCGGGTTCGTTTTTTTTCTTTCTTCGTATTATGTGTTTGATTGAGAGGATATCCTGAGATGGATTGGGATCATCCCATCTTTTACATGTGTTTGGTTTAAAGACTAGCAAGATTCCAACAGAGAATATTCGGGACAACCTCATCCAGAAATCTGGCGGACGGCGCCATCCCACCTCCGCACGCGCGGTGACTAGGGTTAGCGCGAGCAGGGGCGAGTTGGCGGCGGGAGTGCGCTAGCCGGCGGCGGCCGCGTCGTCGCCCATCCTCCCGCGAACCCAGCCGGCGGCAACCCTCGGCGGTCGCTGCTCACCCTCGGCTTTTGTCTGGTTGGGCCTTTCCTCGGTGATAATGTTGGCTCGCCTCCGTTGGTCGAAATCTCCGGTGATTTTATTTTATTTTTGGATCGTGATATTATGCATTAAGCACCTGTACATGTACACCTCGATTTGAGTAGAACAAAGGTTTGTAGTATTGTGCTTGGAAATGCTCCTCGGAAACAAACCATTCATGACATTTGAGGGGAGAAGTGCTTGTTCTACTCCTACCTCATTTGTTTGTATGTTTGAGTGAACTAGGTTCTGGATTGGAGCTTCTTTGCTTTGTTTTGGAGTAATACCTGCATAATGTTTCTAGAACGCTGGTAGCGGTGGGGGGCACATTCGTCATGTCGTGATTTGAGATTCTCATGGCGTACAAGGGAGGTGTTTGTTGATGGCACTTTGGGAAGTGGGCGTTTGTCGATGGTACATATAAAGAAGAGTAGATTTCACAAAACTCTTTTAGTTTATTATGCCAAACCATGGTGATGTATGATTAATGACATCTATATACTCTAAACTATTCTTCCCTGCTAATTTCAATTAATACTAATTTTCTTGTCGTGTTGAGCCACATCATCCTGAATCATTATGGTTATTGGATAGTTGTTCTGTGTCTGAGATTTGCAACCAGATCAGACCAGCCGCTCCATTCACATATCGAGCTCTTATGTGTTACTTGCCTTATGTGCTTGTTGATGTTGTTTCAGTATTGCTCACTATTATATTATAGAACATCCTAAATAACATTCTTAAATTAAGAGTTGTGCATTAAGCTCACCATTCTACTTGGCATTTGCACAGTTTCATTGTTTTGCAGACTTAGGGGCTATTCAAGCATCATTTGGTTTCCTTCCCAACCAAAACCTGTTCTTTCATGGACCTAATCTGTTGTTTTGTCTTATTCTAACTTGATACCCCAAACCACAACCAACATCTCCTCTGATTTAATCAATCTGCTGTCTTTGTAGGAATGTATTACTGCAGGCAAAGGAAGGCTTCTTCTGAGGTCAATGCCAATGTGTTTGTGCCTGGGGGTCAGAATGGTATTTCATTTCCTGCATCAAATAGGGCTCATGATTGGGGATATGGCGGTGTTCGCGAAGAATGGGAAGCTAGTTATGCTCGCAAACTCCAGTTGATCAATTTTCTTTCTTCACTGCATCAACGCACTGCAAATTCTTTGATAACCACTAGAATGGATGCTAACATGGACACTCCTTTGGAGCAAAAACAAAAGGACAGCTCAGCAATAATAGTTCTTGATTCCGATGATGAGGACGAAGCAGAAAGATGTGAACAGCTCGCATCTGAGAACAATAAACAACAGGCACCATCTGGACCCACTAGTCCTTGCACAACATGGATTGTATCCAGTGCGAAAGACCAAGTAAATGGAACCTTGCATGTTGATGGAGTCCAAAGCACTCAAATTGTTCCATATGGTCAAAATGCACCTTTAATAAATCAGTCCCCTTTGCAAACCAGCTGGCAACCATCTATCCAATATGAAAGGGTTATATTGCAGAGAAGACCTGAGGAGCAACGCGTTCAAGATCTTGTGGTATGTATCTTTCACTTGAAATTTTTCAATGGACTATCCACTTCTACATATTGGTACTTTTACTCCTTCCACATACCTGCACTGATAAACCAATTTATTGCATCATGTCTTGTGATTGTACTTTGATAAATCTGAAGAGCGTTATGATATTTCTTGTCTGGAATGTGAGAATAGAAATGTTTGGTGTTTGTTGAATCTATACTCTTTTGAAGCTTAAATATCTCATATTTGAACTTTAACTCTTGTTGCTCACTGTAGGCAGCAAGCCATGCAGAGAAGATAGCAGAAACACAAGTTTTCCTTACTCTGCCTACTCTTCCTAATGAGAGAAAACGAAGGAAATCAGAACCGACCACCCTGGTAGATGGAGATGGTGGAACTAACCTAGGGAAAGGAAAAAGGAAAAATCATCAAAATCAAGCAGCAGTTGATTCAATCTTGGATTTGCAACAAACTGTTGTTCCTTTGCAACAAAATGATGTTCCTTCACAAAGCTACAGGACTATGATAGAAGAGGAGAAACCTGTAAAAGAAAGTGATGGTCTCGAGGATCTTTGGAAAGATTTTTCATTGGCTGCTGAATGTACAAAGGTACAAGATGTAATCACAGATGTTCTTTTTTACTTTTATTCTGCAGCCTTATAATACTGTTGGTTCTTTTTCCAGCTGACCTCTAATTGTACTCGGAAATACATGCTGTAATCTTTATTTTTTGTTTCAAGATTGAATACCACTGTCCACAAAGTAAGTTTCATGGCAAAGTGTATTTTATAAGATAAGCTAGAGTTTGAAAAGGCGTTCATTTGTCATTTAAATCAGTTAAATGCGTATTTTGACAAAGTTTTGAAGCATTTCAGTTGATTATTTCTATCTGATTTGTGTCTTTTTCCAATAATGATCAAAGTAATATTCTTTGTCCAGCTTGATACAAATGAAGACATGTCCAATGAAAAAGATGTGGATGATGAAAACGAGATGGATGACGATTGCAATCATGACATTCGGATTCATGAAGATCTAGGCCATGTATGCCGTATTTGTGGCATGATTGTTAGAAAGGCTGAAACAATAATTGATTATCAGTGGAAAAAGGTACATACCATGTTTTGGACATATGATACTTCAAAGTTCTCAAACCTGTGATGTCTATGATTCTGTTATGGGAATGGGCCAGGCCCATGCAACAGTTTAGGCATGATAAATTAGGAATAAGTCATATGAATATAGGAGATTATCTAGTTAGGAAAGATATGAGGTTTATTAGAAAGTTAGAGATAGAGATTGGATTGGTTTATATAATACTAGAGACTAGTTCCTTATGTGTCTAGTATGTCCTCCCTATATGTAAAGGGACCCCATGTACTCTAGTATCAATCAATCAATGAATCTAAAGTTAGCCCTAAGCCTCAGAGCCTCTTTTAGCTCAGCAGGGAGAAGCCCTGCCTCTGCTATTATAGGGCGAGTGCCCTATCCCCCGGTCCTGGGACCCTTACCTAACCAATCCATAACAGACTCTAGTTTTACTTTGAGGAAATTAATATAAGCAGACAATCAACTTTGGGAATTGTTTTCTTCATAAAGAAACTGCAAGTTGATTATTTACATGAAACCCCTCATGTCCCATACAGTGTCCACTTTTAAAGCCCCAAGAGTTAGATCTGGTTATACTTGACCCTACACACCAGCCGTATCCACTTGCCGTGTTCATGTCAAAAACCATTTTCCTCACCTCCTATGCAAATGCTATTAATATTAAGGCACAGTACCTTGAAGGACTTTAGGCAGTGGAAGGGCATCACGATCAAGAGAAATTTGTGGAGTCATGCTGAATGAAAATTACTGATATATGGTTTTTGTAATGCTTGTTAGATTCACTATGAATATCTAGGGATTCTGGTTTCTTTTGTAGAAAAACCTGCTATGGGGGATCTTCTCTTTACTGAAATACTTCCTAAAATGGGAGAGTGTTTTCATTACCAACTATATTGATATTGATACCGCTTTGGAGTATATAGTAATAGTCGTTTTGCAAATCATATGGATTTCTTTAGTGGCTTGTACCTGAGCTAAGCTGGGAGCCTGGGCAGTATCCAGAGCATGGGTCCTGTAGCAAAGATGGAATGCTTGCATCAGTTTTCTAACGTTTGTTGGATTTTCCTACGTGGATAAGAAAGTTAACTTCATGCTTACATTATATCAGGCTTCAAGGACAAGAACAAATTACTATGAATCACGTTCAAAGGATGCTGATGATATTGATACTGGTGCTGTTAAAGTTTCTGAAGATTTCATTGTCTCTGATATTGCCATTCATCCAAGACATGCGAAGCAAATGAGACCACATCAGTTGGAAGGATTCAGCTTCCTGGTCAAGAATCTAGTTGGAGACAAACCTGGAGGTTGTATTCTAGCTCATGCTCCTGGTTCAGGGAAGACATTTATGCTCATAAGTTTCATTCAAAGCTTCTTAGCAAAGTATCCTTCTGCAAGGCCCCTCGTAGTGCTTCCGAAAGGGATTTTAGGTACTTGGAAGAGGGAGTTTCAGCGGTGGCAAGTGGAGGACATACCACTATATGATTTCTATTCTGTTAAGGCTGATAAAAGAACAGAGCAACTGGAAGTCCTCAAATCTTGGGAAGCCCGGATGAGCATACTATTTCTTGGATACAAGCAGTTCTCACGAATCATCTGTGGTGATGGAGATGGAAACATTGCAGCTGCGTGCCGGGACAGGCTGCTTATGGTCCCCAACCTACTTATACTAGACGAGGGTCATACACCAAGAAATCGGGAAACAGATGTACTGGCATCACTAAAAAGAGTCCAAACACCACGCAAAGTGGTCCTGTCTGGTACACTTTTCCAGAATCATGTTTCGGAAGTGTTTAACATCTTGGACCTCGTGCGCCCTAAGTTTCTCAAGATGGAATCATCCCGTCCTATCGCTAGACGTATAATGAGTCAGGTAGCAATATCAGGTATCAGGAGTTTAAAAGGGGTTCATGACAGTGCATTCACTGAGTCAGTAGAAGACACCCTGCTGAATGATGACAACTTCACTAGAAAGTCTCATGTTATTAGAAGTCTTAGAGAATTAACAAAAGATGTGCTTCACTATTACAAGGGTGATATCTTAGATGAACTACCTGGCCTAGTGGATTTTAGTGTGTTCTTGAAACTCAGTACCAAGCAGAAAGAAATTGTTCACAAGATAGAAGCCTATGAAAAGTTCAAAAGAAGTGCGGTGGGGACTGCATTGTACATTCATCCCTGCCTGTCAGAAATTTCAGAGGGTGATGCTGCAGATAGGGCGACCAACTTGACAGATGCCACTGTTGACAGCTTGATTGAGTCTATCATCATTAAAGATGGGGTGAAAGCCAAGTTTTTCTTTAACATTCTGTCTCTTGCTAACTCTGCAGGAGAGAAGTTGCTTGCCTTCAGTCAATATATACTTCCCATGAAATTTTTGGAAAGGTTGTTGGTTAAGAGGCTGGGCTGGCATGTAGGGAAGGAGATTTTCATGATATCTGGTGATACTAGTGCAGACGACAGAGAAGTGGCGATGGATCAGTTTAACAACTCTGCCGATGCAAAAGTTTTGTTTGGTTCCATCAAGGCCTGTGGAGAGGGAATCTCCCTTGTTGGTGCATCGAGAGTCATCATTCTAGATGTTCATTTGAACCCATCTGTCACCCGTCAAGCAATTGGACGTGCATTCAGGCCCGGACAGCAGAAGAAAGTGTTTGTGTACAGGCTTGTTGCTGCTGATTCTCCAGAGGTGAAGTTCCATGAAACTGCGTTCAAGAAAGAAGTTATACCAAAGCTATGGTTTGAATGGAGTGAGCTCTGCACTACTGAAGACTTCAAACTGAATCAAGTTGATATTGATGACTCTGAAGATGAACTATTGGAGGCTAATGCTATTCGCCAGGATATCAAGGCTTTGTATAGAAGGTGAGCTATCTTTTTCTCCGTGTGCACATAATGCAAGTTAAACCCTGAAGGTGTTCTCTGTCTTATCCAAAATTGTCTTGTAGGTAACAAGCTGTATGTGGCTGCTGTATACCATGTACATAATGCAATGCTGATCTTTCTGGATGATCATTGCTGTGAAGTAAGGGGATTTCTCTTGAATCATTCTTCACATTACAAAATCTTTGCTCCTTATTCTGTTCTGATTGTATGACCATGATGCTTTTTCGTTAACCTATATCATTTTTCTTCCTACAGGGTGTGGCAGTAGCCCCTTCTAGTGCCGGCGTTCCCTTCATGCTAGGATTTTTCGTTAACCTCCGTCATTTCCCTACCTGTTTTGAACCACTGTCCGATTTGTAACATGTGCCAGCTTGGTGCAGCGGTTAGCGTGCTGATCCTAGTCTCATTTCTTACTGAAAATCTCCAGGATTAATAACTATGGTTTCTGCCGTTCCTGCTTGCGGCAACAACTTAAATAATGCCACTGTTTCCTGACGTGTCTTTGTGCACTCAATTGCTCTTCGAATTTTCCCGTTGTTCTAGGGTAAAGATAATTTCTTTCTGTGCATAATAGAATGCAGGTCTTTCATCGTGCATTTGTGCATCTCTTTTACTACCTCCTTTGTTATAGTACCTGGTTTTTGTGTCGACAATTCTAGTTGCAATTCTGGCTCCCACGAAAGATGCTTTAAGACGCAGCAATGCCAGGATGCATACTCTCTTATTATTATTATTATTATTATTATTAAATGTTTTCTGAAAGCCCCAAGAACTGATCGAGTAGACGACTCGATCGTTGGCTCGTTGCACTCATCGACTCCAGATCAACTAATCTCTCAAAGGCCTGGCAGTTGTGTTCACCTGCTGCATCCGAGGCCCGAGGGTGACGACAAGGACAGGGGAAAGACAACACAAGGACGTCTGGGAGCCTACGAAGTGGAGCTGTTTGTACTTTTGCAGGGCCGGTTTTTTCCAGCTTACGCTTATCACCTGATAGTTGTAGTTACGAATTATTTGCTCCATATGTTTTAAGAATATAATTTTCCATGAAAGTTTCTTTTACTTTATTGCCTAGACCACTTATTTTAAACTATTTATTATGTTTAGATAATATATAATATTTAATTTATTCATATTATTAATTTATCCGCAAATAATCTCAAAACAAACACTAGCCTAGACCCTAGAGAGGGTAGGAAGAGCAGGGGCTACTGGAGTGCTTGGGGAAAGGAGTTAGGCCCGCCGTCGTGGCTTCGTGGGGTTGATGATGATATACGCGGGGAAAACGCTATGCGTACGATGTTCAGTTACGATTTTAGTACGATCAAACGCCGAAGAACGGCACGTCAATACGCGGAGCGCACGCGCTGCAGGCATTCCTGGGCCGTGAAGGCCATATACAACCTCATCGTCCCCTTTTTGTCTCTTAATTTGCTTATGCTGTAAACCTAAAAACATTATATGTTTACACGAACTAACATGCCATCTTATCTTATCTCCAACAAATACTCCCTCTATTTCATATTATAAGTCATTTTAACTTTTTTCGTAATCAAACTTTTTAAAGTTGGACCAAATTTACAATAAAATTTAACAATATCTAAAACACCAAATTAGTTTCGTGAGATCTAACATTTAATAAAATTTGATAGTATGTTTGTTTTGTGTTAAAAATACTATTATATTTTTTTATAAACTTGATCGAACTTATTAAAGTTTGACAAAAAAAAATCAAAACGATTTATAATACAAAACGGAGAGAATACTAATCTAAATTGCATACAAAGACGAGATAAGTCCATCTTATTTGCTTGATTTTCTTTGGCGTAACGAACATTAGCGTTGGTATGCTAGCTTCTTTTTTTTCCGTGCAATGTCTAAGACCGTTTTCATTTTTTATCTAATCTAAAATTTTGATTTGTAAAACATGTCATTTGCAAATTTTTTAACATGGATGGAAGTAGAATCCCTCAGTGTGGGACCAGAAGTTGTAGGCTGTAGCTGTTAATATAACTCTAGGAGAGGCGTTTCGTCGTACGATCATCGTATAAAAAGTATCGTACGCATAGCAGGACATGCGCGGCGACACGTTACTGATCTGAATAAATTTAGCGAATGAAAGAAAATGTGGGTCCGTTCAGATCAGTGCTAAAATAAACCTAAATTTGAGAATACTAAAATTTTAACAAAATTGACTTAATAATGTTGCTAAAATTTTGTACACATTGTCAATATTTGATAACAAACTAAATGTAGCCACATAATTATTAATTTTATCAAATAATGATATAATTGAACAGTAAACATTTGCTAAGGACTGATTAATTAGGCTCAATAAATTCGTTTCGCAGTTTACAGGTGGAATCTGTAATTTGTTTTATCATTAGTCTACGTTTAATATTTCAAATGTGTGTCCATATATCCGATGTGACACGCCAAAGCTTTACACCCATACATGTAAACACCCCCTAATATGAGAAAGGCCGCGGTCTTCTTGGCTAGCAACGCAAGCTACGAGCTAGCCGGTCTGGGTTCGAGCCTCACCCCCTCCTTAATTTAAAATCAATCTAGTCCTAGATTGGTCCTATTTTTTTTTAAACACCCCCTAATATATAAATGACGGAGGGAATGCGAAGCAACGTGGTCTGAATCTAGAGCCCCAAAATTGCTAGGATGGATTCATTGTGAACAGAGCAGCACATTTTTAGCTGCTTTGTTGAACACAACTCCTGAATGGAAAACTCATAAAAAAGATTACCAAGGACAGATTTGTGTTGCACTGTTACTTCATGCATAAGAAGACTGGTCAAGAACATGCACGACTGAATACAAATTTACAGAACTTGCAGCAAATAGCAAGAAAGCGGTTCAAACCTCCCTAAAAAATTCAGAGCTTCGAGTCGGAATAACAAAAGCTCGATGGGGCTCGTCACCCACGCGTAGATCAGAGGTTGGACGGGATGCAGATCGCTTTTGAGTGATCTAACGCGTCCATTTGGATGGATGGATGGAGCAATGGATCACCCACACATGCCATTCTCACTCTCCCCTCTCTTCTGGGCACCGCCGGTGGGGGCGGCGGAGATGACCTCGACGGCGTCGATCCTCGCCATGGGCGCGGCGCTCCACGCCGCCCTGCTCCTCCGTCGCCGCCGGCTCGGCGACTCCTCCGCGCGGCCGCGCATCACCTGCCACTGCGGCACCCTTCTCACCGGTGGCGGCTCGTCAGATCGCCCCCCTCCACTATGGATTCGTTGTTGTAATCCACTCCTCTTCTGCGTGATTCACCTATTCTTCACATTCCCTGACGCCATGTCAAAATGGATTGGGGTTCGTTTCTTGCGCTAATGCAAGATGTGAAACTTGCAGGCGTGCTCTAAGCTCTATGTGTGTGTACAGCTAGCAATGGCTTTGATGCGGGCGAAGAGTTATACTGAAACATGCCCATGCGACAAAAGCCCAAAAAGGAAAAAAAATAACAGGAATACTCATCTGGGCAAGCGAAATGGCAAGCACAACTGATCGCGCGCGGCCGCTCCTGGACCTGAACTAGTCTTTTCTCAGGCAGTTTTTTGGTATAATTTGCCAAATACTAATACGGAGTCCGAAGCTAGCGAAGTAGGAGTAGCGATTAATCCACGCATGCATGCTAATTAAGCTAATTAGCTAATCAATCCGACTCCGATTCGTATCCCAAGCGAATGAAGGAATTAGCGCTATATATTCAGTGGGACGGCGCCGCCCTGTCTTTCATCATCGACTGGTGAATCGAGATTCTTCATCTGAATCCTCACTTGTCGTCGCCGTACGTAGCTCTCAGCTCTAGCCTCTAGCAGATTGAAAGGTCCCGATGGATCAGGAGGTGATCATGGCGACGCCACCGCTGCCGCCGCCGCCTCGGGCGAGGTGCGTCGTCCGCCTCAAGCTGCCGCCGGCGTGGACGCCCGAGGAGGACGCGCGGCTGCAGCGCCTCGCCAAGGAGAACGGCTTCCGCCGCTGGAGCCGGGTCGCTAGGAGCATGCCACGCCGCTCCGCCAGGTCGTGCCGCGACAGGTGGCGCCACCACCTCGCCCGCGACGTCTACCACCGCCCCTTCACCGCCCGTGACGACGACGAGCTCCTTCGCCTCCACTACCGCCTCGGCGACCGCTGGAAGGAGATCGGCCGCGCCGTCTACGGCCGGACCTCGCGCATCATGAAGCACCGCTGGAGGGAGCTCCGGCGCAGCGGCTTCCCGCTAGCTGCCACCGCCAGGAAGGTGCAGGCGCTCGACATGGTGGAAAGCGAAGTGGAGGAGTCAGACCAGTCGCTGCCGCCGCCAGAGTTGCAGCGTTCTTTGGCGGACGCTCTTGCCTCGAGCTTCGGTTATTGTAGCCTTGCCAACGAGCACGCGATGGATCCCCTGGCCGGCAGCCTCTCGCTAGGGTTCGCGTGCATGGCAGTTTGATGTAACCTAAGCTACTGGCCAATTTTGTACTCTGTAATTATTTTCCTAGATTTAGCAGTACAACTCTTTATTAGTTGTCATGTACTGATGTACGAACAATATTAATTTCATTCATCTAGTCATGAGGATTATGTAATTTTACAATATTCATATAATGGTATGACATTAAGGCAATATGAGTATATGACTATTTCTGTCTAACCTAGTACCTTGAACACATTGAAACATGCATGTCTCGTGGAAGGTGCGATATAACAGCAAGAGGAAAGTATGATTCTGCCAAATTTGAGTTTCCTATAGCAATTTTTCCATAATTAAATGACAAATGGGCTAGATTAGCTAGCTTACTCCTCATTTGTATTCGATCAGATACTATTAGAAAAATCATTTGTTGCCACGAAAAAAATCGTGGCATCAATACTAAAATTGTGGCAATAGATACATGTTGCCACAATTGTAAAATCGTTGCTAGCCGTGGTAATAAATAGCGTAGTAATAGGTTATTGCAACGAATTTTATTTTGTGGTAATAAATTTAGATGTTGCCACGGAATGGATGTGAAAAAAAGTCATATTGCAACACTTCACATCGTTGTAATAAAAATTATTGCTACCACTCCATATGTGGCATTAGTTTTACGTACCAAATTAAAAATCTATCATCCTATCTATTTATCTACTTATTTTTTTTATTTTGTGTCTTGGCTAGGATTCGAACTCGAGACTTATCGTTCACGCGTGCACTCCTTTACCAACTCACTTACGCATCAATTCTATTGGAAAATGCATATCGTTCCATTTGAGCCTAGCTAACTGAGATTTGAATCATAAATTTGAATATCTAAAATATTTCAAATGAAAAAGTTACCACCTATAAAATTCTAGATCTCGTCGAGAGCTATAATTTCCATATAAACTTTGTCTCAATCCGTATCCATATGAAAAAATTAAGTTAATTTATGAGACGACAATTTTTTATTGCAACAAATTTGTTGATCGTGGCAAAAAAAAAAGTAAAAAGTACCATGTACTATATAAATTGCCACAAAAATTAAAATTGTGGCGATAAAACATGTTTTTTGCAACAGTACGATTTTTTGTGGCGATATCTCATTTTCTATTGCAACAAAAATACTAAATAAAACAACGATTGTAGATCGTTGCAATAAAAAATAATTATTTGCCACAGAAAAAATATCATTGCAATAGTATAATATATTGCTACGAATTATTTTTTGTTGTAATAATTTGGTGGCAATAGCTTAATTATACATATAATTAGGAATAGGACTATTCCGTTGATCTAAGGGGTTTGACCCTATATAAGAATCTCTGTATCCCGTCTCCTTGTTCTCATGTCACGTATACCCTCGTACCAACGCATCCTATATATACTCCTAAACTATCTCCTTATTCCAATCTAACCTATACTCCAATACTATCTTCCTATTCCAATCTTGCGTATATCCTAGTGTCTACATTTCATATACTCCATTTTGGTGTATAACCTTTCAACAATAATGGCACCCAACGTGCATCCCCTCTCGAATGTGTGTACTTCTCACTTTGATGAATTTCAAACCAATTCAAAAAAATAAGTTTGAAAAAAAAACAAAATACCAACTAAAGGAAATAAAAATCTACTGTAACCACAAACATTCGTGTCTATAGATTTTAATACTTGCAACTTTTGTACAGCCTTTATGTACAAACAATTATGTAAAAAAATATTTGAATTCAAATTTAAATTTGGTATATAATCTTTCGGTGTATAAATAGACTTACCAAAAAATAAAACTTTGGATATATAAATTTTCTCTATATAAATTTTAAACAAATTTAAAACAATTTCAAAAAATAAAAACAAAACATATACTCCGTCCGTCATAAAAAAAACCTAATAATGGGTTTGAACCTGGACACATTTGTCCCGATTCAAACCCAGAATTATGTTTTTTTTGACGGAGGGAGTATACTTTTTATTGAAAAATAACGGCCTAGAGGACCAGCCTCCTCGGATTCGTCTTTCTCAACGGAATAAGTTCACTTGCCGTCCCTTAACTTTACGTCGAGTCTGAATGACACCCCTAATCCCCAATACCAGAAATCTCTACCCCTGTTCGAAACCGTGCAAAACAGGTTCCATGGCAGTATACATGAGTGGTTTTGCTGACGTGCCATCCTAGCAGCAAGCAGAGATTAAAAAATGTGGGATCCACATGTAAGCCACACAAAAAATATAAAAGAAAAACTTCTCTCCATTCTCCCCTAAGCACATGGCGGTGACGCACACCTTTCTCTGTGGAGGCTGAGGGCAGCGTGACTGGCGAGGTCAAGGCAGCACATGGGGACGCTGAGGCCGAGGACGGCGTGCACACGCACGCATTCCAGGATCGAGATGGGCTCCACCACCGCCACGGCGCCACCCTTCAAGACCCACAAAGACGACGACCTGGAGGGCGCCAGGAGGACGCGGTAGCGACGTTTCCTGTCCAGCTGCTTGCTCGTCACAGGGAGAGGGAGGGGAGAGACAGCCGGCTGCGCCAACGGGAGAGGGGCAAGAGGAGGCCGGCGAGCCTGGGAGGGAGAGGGGGAGAGGCAGCCGATCACGCCGGGGTAGAGGAGGCCGTCGTGCCTGGGAGAGAGAGCGGGAGAAAGGCGGTCGGAATCCAGCAGCTCCTCCTCTATCTGACCCCCGCGACTCCTTCTCTGCCCAGCCTCTGCTGCTCCTCCTCCCGATCTTGTCAGGAAATCCCAACGAATCAGCGAGCGGGCGAGAACGAACACCGGACGAACACAACGCACGCGACACTGTAGATAATCTGAAAACGAGCAGAGACACACGAGAGTTGGCGCTGCGTAAAACTGCCTGCAGCTTTTCTGTTTTCTTCTCCTTATTTATAGCAAAACGAAGATGCAACAAAGGAAAAATCTAGCTCTGGAACCGGCCCACGCCGCGGATCGCTCGCGTCCATCCCCACGAGTTCGCGACGTGCGCATGCCCCCGCTGATCTCGGCCACGCGCGGCTATTCCAGCACCATGACCCCTACGCGCGCGGCGTCCACAAACCGGAGCTCACTCGCATGCAATGCAACAGAAAAACGAGAAAAATGCAAAGCATAAAATGCACAAGGTTTATATCTAACAAATCTCCCCCTAAACCTTGCGCGGTGTTTGAACTTCGACGAGGCCAATCTGGGAACGCAGCTCCATGAACCTGTCCCGTCCGAGTGACTTCGTCAGAATATCCGCCAACTGCTCGTTGGTGCCGATGAACTCGACCTTCACCCTGCCCTCCTCAATGCATTCTCTGATGTAGTGATATCTCGTGTCGATGTGCTTGCTGCGATCGTGGAAGACAGGGTTTTTGCTAAGCATGATGGCAGATTGGTTGTCAATCCTCAATGTGACGGCGTCGGCCTCCTCTCCCTGGAGTTCAGCAAGGAGACGCGCCAGCCACACACCTTGGCAAGCCGCCGTTGTCGCCGCTATGTATTCAGCCTCGCAGGACGACAAGGCCACAACTTTCTGCTTCTGCGACTGCCAGGTGATCAAGTTGTCGCCGAGGAAGAAGAAGACGCCGGAGGTGCTCTTGCGAGTGTCGACGTCACCGGCGAGATCGCTGTCGCTGTAGCCGACTAAACTTGCATCTTTCTTCCTCTTGTAGTGGCAGCCGTAGCCGATGGAGCCAGCGACATAGCGCAGCACTCGCTTCACGGCCGCCAGGTGTTCGGTGGTGGGTTTCTCCATAAACCTGCTCACGTAGCCCACCGAGTACGCCAAATCCGGTCTCGAGTTCACCAGATAGCGCAGGGAGCCAACGATCCACCGGTAATCAGTGGCGTCGACGGAGGGGGCGTTGCTCATCTTGCTGAGCTTGAGGCGCGTCTCCATTGGGGTAAGGCTGGGATTGCTGGCCACCATGCCGGCAGTCTGCAGAATCTTCTCCGCGTAGGCGCGCTGGTTCACCGTGATGCCGTCCTCTGTCTGGTTCACTTCCAGGCCGAGGTAGTACTGCAACAAGCCGAGGTCGCTCATTTGGAATGTTCCTTTCATCTCCTCCTTGAACTGTTTCAGCTCGCCGGGGTTGCCGCCAGTGATGATGAGATCGTCGACATACACGCCGACCACCAGCCGTTGCTCCCCCGTGCCGCGCATGTACACGGCATGCTCGGAATCACTTCGGTGAAAACCAAGCGATAGCAGCGACGCGTCCAGCTTGGAGTACCAAGCACGCGGTGCCTGACGGAGCCCATAGAGCGCCTTGTCAAGGCGCAACACCTTGTGTTCCTGGCCGTCGACGACGAATCCCGGCGGCTGCGCGACGTAGACCTCCTCCAGAAGCTCGCCGTTCAAAAACGCCGATTTGACGTCCATGTGATGCACGGCCCAGCCCTCGCACGCCGCATGCGCCAACAACAAGCGAACGGACTCGAGCCGCGCCACTGGTGCGAACACCTCGTCGAAGTCGATGCCTTGCCGCTGCACATACCCCTTCGCGACCAGGCGTGCTTTGTACTTGGTGATGTTGCCGGCGGCGTCCTTCTTGGCCTTGTAGACCCACTTGAGTCCAATCGGACGTTGGCGCGCTAGCGGATCAACGAGCCGCCAAGTCTTGTTCGCCTCAATAGAACGCATCTCCTCGATCATCGCTTGTCGCCAGCAGCTTAGCTGCTCTGCTTCGGCGAACGACGCCGGCTCCTCCGCTGTTACCGCGAACAGCTCCTCGCTCAGCTCGCGAACGGCCTGGCCCGGCGGCGTCGCCGGCCCAAGCACGTCGTCAATGCGACGGAAACGGAGTGGCGCGTCATCGTGGTCCGCGTCAAGATCATCCTCCACGTCAGGCGGAGGAGAGACAAATTCCACCGGCGACACTTCTGCCACAGGCGGTGTTGTCGGAGTCGAGCCTGATGCAGGTGAGCGCGGCGAGGCTGGAGCTCCCCCGTGCTCCGTGCCGGTTTGCGTCGGAGTCGCCGTCGCTGGGTGGTACACCGTGGTGT